GCAGTCTCAATTTATTTGGAACATGCTAGGAAACGCGAACATGCTAGGAAACGCGAACATGTACTCTTCTCTCGGTTCTTCCAATGTATATCCTTTGGCATGTACATGTCTTTCCTCAGAATCCGAAATTGTTGATTTTTTATTTACATTTTTAGGCCAAAAATAATTTAAACATTTCTTGTAGCGATGCGATAAATAAATCATTTTGTCACACAAATCTGTACACGAAATATGAAGATTTGGGTTAGTTTGGTGATATTAGGTGTTTAATGAATCTCTACAGAGCCTAGTATTTCATTATTCTAACTCTTAACAGCCTGTTAAACTAAGCAGATTATTAAGGTTTCTTTCATTGGGAAACATAGGGAAAAGCCACGGAAGGTAAACTTCAGCCAAATCGGAATAGTTATACGTGTTACTGTTAACATTAACTGAGTCACGAAATATTCCTGATTTTCTGAGGATTCCAAATGAGTGATTTAAAGATATCTTACATAGCACACCGCCTGGAGATCAAGTTTGATATCTAATGTGATCGTGGCAACACATGATTGGAGACTCATAACAATGAAACAATACTTTCCAGCGATTATTAATTTTTTAACGGTTCTTCATCTTGTCTTAGTAAGTAAAAAAAGCTATCCTCAAAGTATTTTTATTACCGAAGGGATTTATATCCCTTATTTACTTAATGAATGGGAGCAGAATTTTAGTTTCATCCACAACAACGATTTGACCTTAAAAGGTGGGTTAATACATTTATTTATTTTTTATAGATGAAGCTAACCTATTTGATAGTTTCTACTACCTATTTTTGATAAGTACAACTTTCTTCATAAACTGATATTAGCTAAATAAGCAATGAATCTTATTCCCTACTAATTTTCAATGTAAATACTCTGACTTTTTACCTTGACATTATCAATGTTAACCAAGCAATCAGTAAACTAAATGAATTAGACCTGTTCTGAATAATTCATGGTGTAGCGCAGATAGACAGTCATTATTGGTGCGCTATACGTTTGGTTTTATATAACGTATCAAAAAACTAGCTGTCTGGAGGACAAAATATTCTTGTTATAAGTTTCGATTGCACAAAATGAACCTTAATGTAGTATTGGGCGATCTAGTATATTTTGTATTGAACAAACAATTCACTATATATAATTTTATTTCGATAAAATGATAATTTAATAATGCTTTGTAATCCTAATAACAATAAAACTAATCAATGACTGACTAACATAACTGGAATTAATATTTTATAACTTGTATTCCAAGTACCTCTTAACAGCGGTTAAAGTCATTATTCATTTGTATTGGTTGTTTAGATCTTCCTATTTACATTTAAGACTGCGATTGACCAGTCTCTTTAGAAATATGTGTATACTGTGTGGACTGCCTCAATATTACCCCTAAGTTACATGCATTTTAAACAGAGATAAGTAGTAGCTATCAGGGGAATCTAAGACACGCGTTTCGTCTCATTTAGGACTCGTCGCCTGAATGTACCTCCATCCCGGTGTTTATGTTCACTCTTGGACTTGAACCCGATACTGTTAGCTTCAAATGCCTTTGTGTTATCCATTTAGCTTCTAAATCCAAATAGGCATTGGCTTCCACTGGAATAATTAAACAACCAATACAGATGAAATTAAACTCACCCCATTGTACAAGCCAGAGGCCATTTGGACCCAGTAACTAAGTGATTAAAGTGTAAGTGTTTGAAGCGAAAGATAATCGCTTTGAATGATTAAATTGTTGTATAGCTCTAGTGAATGATCAAGTAGTAGAATTTTATGGATAGCTTAAATCTTAATACGTGCAATAGATTTGTTTGTGTTCTAAACTTGAGGTACACTAGCATCAGCATTATCTGTACAACCAACAACTACATTTACAACAGATAAAAGATTTTGCGCTTCTTTCTGTCATATCAAAATATAAATCGTCACCTTAGATTATCTGAAAAATCTAGTAACGCAATTCCAGGTGAAGCTAATTCAAATGCTTTCTTGCTAATTATTTATTCTGATTTTCATAAATTAATGTGACCTCAAAGTAAGCAGTCGACAAGAGATTATCTTGAATGCTTTGCCACCTCGATATTTGTAATTGAGACTAAATTTAACAAGTAAAAAAGGCATACTTCTCACTTTGAACCCTCAATGATATAGAAGACAACTTTCTAGTAGGTATACCGTGTACTTCAGACCATAAGGTGTTAAGAGAATCAATTATTCATTTGTGATTGTCAGAGTAAATGTTTTGAAAACCAACTATATAGTTTGGGAATCGAGTGAATCATAAGGTCGTTACAGATCAACATCGATAAAGAAATAAACAAGTCATACTGAAACTTCATCCGTCTAATATTTCAATTTTGTGTTTATTTTGGTAAAAAGGTTTCTCTCATTAAGCAAGGAAATATTCCCTGTCTTTTCATCGGGTCATTTTCACTGATAATGTAAGAGATCAAATGATAGCTTCTAAAAATGTAATTCGAAACTTTGGAAATGGTAGTCAGTACGAAATACATTTCTTAAACCTGTAGTGAAACTAAAATTAGATGAATAAGATTTTCAGGTATGGATCCAAGCTGTTATACGTTCATAGATACCTTTCAACTAATTTGTGATTGTATTGAACTTCTAGAAAAACTAAGTTATTCATCTTGTGAATGATTTTCTGTATAACGAAACAAATATAAAATCTTTTTATAAGTATGGATTCTTACTTAACAACTCTCTAGAAATCCTGATCTTCTATTGGATCAGATCTTTATCTCACAGTTCATAACACTTTAAAGTTTGTAAAATGAAAATAGAATCACTTTATATGTTTTAAAATAAGTGATGATAAAGAAATCTTTTGTATCATTGATCCATTATTATTACTTCAGCAGTACTCTTAGGAAATCACACTAGGTTAATAAACGTGTTACGCTGAAAATACTCAACGATAACAAATAATCGAAAAGAAGAGAGCAGAATTTTATGGAGTTAAATGCAGAAAATTCCAAATTGATTTCATACCATTTGAGAACTATGGTGTCAGAAATACTAACTTCTATTGAAACTTTCCATCTATCAAACAATTTCCTTATTTTTTTAAATAAAACAGTAAAAATTGTTACTTTACAAATTTTACATGTTATTGAGTAGAAATAAAGAGAATTCAGCAAAGAAAATTTTCTTTTCGACGAAATCATTTGCTTAAGTTGTACATCCGTATTTATAGTTTTGTGGAAAATATATGTCTGTAGAAGGATAGAAAAGATTACATCATAAAGTGATTCGAAACTCGTGTTATCAAATGAGGTTACGCAATAATCAAGGGGTAAAAAAAGAATTTAAGTATGAGAATAATTTACGGATCAGATAATTATCAACTGACCAATGTCAGCTGCCCCACATGAGCATGTAAATTTATAGATGCACATTGATGTGGCCCAAAGCTGGAGTTTATCCTTAATACATCCGTGAATGGAAGGCTGGCTTGAGAAAACAACTCAGAGCTTAGTTGAGTAGAATGTTTTATTAAACGATTCTGAAATCCGTTTATTTATGATTTCAGCAGCCGTATCTCCTCTGAATTCCATATTCATAAAGAGTTTTCATTCGTACTGTTGGTCCTTTTTTTCGGATGATGTTTAGTTGTTAAGTTACTATCACTAAATCCAGGTGAGTAATCATTCCGAACGAGAGTCTGTCGAAGTTGGAGTAGTTCCTCATCTGTTGTGTCAGTAGAACATATTCGCTTGATCCTTGAGGATAAAGAGTGAATTAAGATTCTCTTTCTACTCAGTGGGACGCAGCTATGGAAATTCATGTACTGCCCATTCCAAGTCGGTTTTCTATATATAGATCTCTGTAAAAATCCATCTGACCTTTTTAATCAGACATCAAGAAAATGAAATTCCTTATTTGCCTCTGCTTCCAAAGTGAACTGAATTGAGGGGTGACAATTATTGAAGCCACTCAAAGTTGTATTGGGGTTCATATCTTTTTTATAAATAATGAAAGTACCATCCATATATCTCTTATATAAATGCAATCCCTCAATTATTGGTCGAAGTACCGTATTTTTAAGATTGGCCATGAAATAATCAGCCAAGAGGGGATCCAGTAGAGGATCCATTGCAACTACATCTGTTTGTCTATAAAAATCATCAATAAATCTAAATTGCACGTTGAGAGTACATCGTAGAAGTAGCTCTTTTAGATAATGTTCTGGAATACAAATATCATGATTATTACTTTCAATATAGTCACATAAAAAACATGTAGTTTCTGTGAGAGGAACGCTTGTAAAAAGAGAAGTGATATCCAATAAGATCATTTTCCTACCATTTAAATTGATATTTTTAATTGAGTCGACAAAGTAAAGGCTTCAAGAGAGTTGTATCTATTAATATGATTTTTAACGGGTTGTAAGATATCAGCTAACCATTTAGAAATCAGGTTCCCCCTGTTACCCTTTTTTATTTAAAGAATATATTGCAAAATCTCCGAATGATAACATCTGCTCAGTTGTACATTGACTATCAAAATTAACTGTTTTTATGGCTGAAAGACTGGTTACATTTTATTTATCAGAAAATAATACCACCAACAACACAATGTTAACTTTTATCTTATCAATTTTCCTTGGTGTAGCTTAGTTATAATCAAAATCAACCATCCATTAGTGGTTAGTCTTTATAGTAATTGAACAAAATCGTTAAAATTGAGAGTGAAGTTGTACAATAATTAGGAAAATACTTAATTTCCTCTCAGCTATCCATCTAGAAGATTTATACAGAAATCTGAATCACAAATAATAAATATAAATTAAGTCAGTTATAAAAATGAAGCAGAAATCTTTATCATAGGACTGAACACAGTGTAAAGTCTTTCTTGTTGTTTGTTTTTACTATACAATCTAGTTGGTAAAAAATGAGGAATATGTCACATTTTCTGTGAGGTAATATTTTTTACAAAAAGTGCACATACTTCCTGTTAGTTTGTTGCTTCATTTAGCGTATCATTTGCACAGGATTCTGTCGGTACTATAAAAACAGATAAAGAACTTCTAAATGATATTGGTTCTGTCTGCACATGTTTAGTATAATTATCTTTCTTAATCGTTACCTCTTCATCTGATAATGTTTTTAACATGTTATGTATCATCGGTGTATCATTCCCTCCAGTATTATTTATTTCATCACAAATTTCTGACTTCATATTCCATATAGGTCCAGAATAGTTTTCAGTGTTTAAAAATTGTTGCCGTATTGTATTAATTGCTAGTTCAGCATCATCTATGGTCTGCAGATTTTACAAAAACAATTTACATACATATATTAAAGTATGAAAATAATTAATTAGCTTTCAATCGTCAACCAGGTTTTAATACAAGGTTCAAAAGTCTTTGAAACATATGCATTAAATATAACTATTTCTCTAAATTAGTATGTTATATGGAGGGCTAGTTTGAAAGTGCAAGAAAAAAAAGTAGCCCAGTACATAATAAACGCAAGAAAAGAAATAAAGTTTAGTCGTGACAATATGGGACTTAAATTATTTTACATACGTTCTAATAATCAGTATGGTATACCATGTCCCTGAAATAATTCTTACTTCACACTAATATAGTGCCTTTATTCTTTTTGCCAACGTAAAATTGATATACTTTTTAATATCTAGTTAAAATTGGAGAGAAAAATCCAATAGCTCAAACGTTATATCAACGAATCAGTAAGTCAACAAATTTTCATATAACGAAACAGAAAAATGAAATCATTTTGGATATTTAAACTAACCAAATGAACAACACGTACATATATCTTTAAAATTATAAAATCATCTCAGTTGGACTACATATTTTTGATACTAGTTACCAGTGAAATCCAAAATGTCTGTTTAATTTTACTTAGAACTCATCAGCTGTAAGTATATGCTCACCCCAATGTTGATGTTAATGAGACTGGGAACCAGTATTTATCAATTAAAACCCTTGCAAATAATAGTAAATTTTTTAAATGTCTTTTAACAAATGTTATCACTTCATGAAAACGACAAAAAGCTTGTCTTATACATATGAGTCTGTTAATGGTTTGAACGCAAATAATTTCTTATACTTGTATGATCATCAAATAAAAATACAAGACCAGTTATTCTTTCATTAATCTACCAGTTTGTTCCTTAGCTTACGAATATAAATTATTTGTTCAAGAAATAAAACGGTGAAGATCATTACAATCTTTTTCTTAATAACACACTGTACAGTAATAACATTAGTTCACGAAATATAATAAATAACTGTACTGTGTACAAATGCATATCTATAGCGAAATTACTTAATATCATTTATGGGCTTAAATAATAAAGCGACTTGATTAGAACAAAAGTTAGCTAAATCCATAATTAAGTGAATTGGGCAATCGATTTGCACAAAGTTGAACGAAAGTGTAAGAAATTAATTTTGAAATTCTGAGAAATATTTGCAGTCGATGTGTTTTAACCACTTCAATTTAAGTGATAGAAGAAACTGGGTAGAAGCCTTATAAATGACTATGTGAAAATGGTAAAAATGCCTTATACATAATGGCGATAAAGAACTAAGCAAATAAATTAGTTTTATAAGTCAATAAAATTACTTTAGAGCTAATACCAAACCGTAATGTAGTAGCCATGACAGATCATTTATTAAACGATGGTGAATTAATAACAATGTTATCTTTAAAATAATTATACCCTTCAAATTTAAGGCTGAAGGAATGGAAGTTTACTTAGCAAAAATAAACTTGAAAAAAATATTTTGGTATATATTTATTCATAAGTTAGAAATTTATAGACATTACTTCAAGTAGAATCAAAGGTTCAGTTATTCAATTGTCATTTAAATCAAACTGGTTGTAGACCCGCACTAATATGTATAAATTATATAAACTAGACTTTTCAAATAAATGTTAAAGTAATTAAGATGAATAGGAACAAAAGTAATTTTCTAACTTTCCTTTCAGAATATATCAAAAATAAAGTAGTCAATACCTTCAAATGCTAATAGATAAACTCATAAAACGATGATTTATCAAGTATTCAAATTTCGAATTAAGTTAGTTTTCATTATTGCATTTAGAAAAATTTTAGATATATAAAAATCTTCTTTAGACAAATAAGAGCTTTTGCCTACAATGGGAACAAAGTAATACATAATTCATATGAGACCACTCTAATTTCATTACTTAAACGGAAAAATTAATTTAAAATTATTAGTTTTCCAAAGGAAACACCTTAGCTCTAATTTATAACAGGTCGACTTTTGTCATACATTGACATACACGCATAAATATTGGTACAAGGAGGCACCAAATACATATGCGCCACACAAATCTCATTTGATATGTGTGAGGGCTGTGATACTGCCAGGGTGCCCAAACCGAAGCAGGTGGTTTTCTTAGGGGACCACACCCCGAGCCTTTGACCTGAACGTCTGATCCACAAGGCAGTGGAGCATCGTAAGGAGATGCAGTCCCATGGTAGCCGGTGACCAACGATTGGTTCATACGCCATTTGTTCCCGCAGGATACTGGAGCCCATGTGCACCATTGGTTTGGGGTCCGGTTAAAGCGCCGGACATTCGCTTTTCGTCCTCTCATTTTTGTAAACAACACCCTCGCCACGTGAAGGCAGTGAGTAGGACTTCCCTGGCAGGGTCTATGTACGCGTGGCCATGTGAGAGCATTTCGAGAGGGAGAGCGGACTCTCCCCATTCTCGGCCGTACCAGGGCGTTTGGGGGCACATTGACATATGTTAAAGGATCATTGAAAATTAGGGAACACTGGATTGTTATTTTGTAGTATGTGATCGCTCAGCAATGCATGCTCACAATCCCACCATGTATTGAACTTAGGACTATTAAGTTTCAAAGTGAGCTCATCAAATTTGGACAAGTGATCTCAAATCCAGTTGCTCAGATTTTCAACATTAATCATCTTGTGACATAGTGTTTTGTCATTCAATACCACTTTTAGCAAATGACTAGATGTATCAAACAATTGATAACAACTAACCCCTAACCAAAAATAAAACGATAGTCATTATGAAATAATTTTCTGATAATTCATCCATTCAACGGTCACATTGTTAAAACTTTATTATACAAGAGTTTACTTAATATTGTAGGAAAAATACAGTCTTTCAACTATGCGAAAAAGAGAAGCCTAATAAACATTACTCCGATCCAGTTAATTGCTAAATGATAGATTGATAACGGAAGCTAACACTATTACACATTCTAAATTAAGTTGTCTAACCAATTTTTAATTACGCAACAATGTACACCTTATCAGCCTAACATAAATGAGCTTAATCCAAATATATTGTTATATCATCCACCATCTTCATTCATATTGTGATCAAATATATTTCGATTATACTTGTTATTTAATTATTTCTTCGGCAGTAGTTCTATGTAGGTCAAACATTTATAATTTTATTGTGCTTACAATATTATATTATCCCCATTTTTATTGGATGTGTTATCAAACACATACTTCCCTATACCCGTAATAAGCAAAACAAAATTTTATCACTTGCTATGTTCATATGTTTTAAATTTATATTTAAGTACACTATTTGTGGTCACATTGCTAAAACTTGTTGAATTTAGTGTATCTATTTTAGACTCATGTTTACCTACTATTATGGACACATATATTTTGTTTACTATTATTGTTAACATAAAATTGCATTAACTATGTTTTCCTTAAGCTAAACCCAAAAAGCAGTGGATAGAAAACACTCAAGGAAGATTTAACAGTTAGACTATTAATAGTAAACTACAAATCATTTGATTTTTTTATAACACATTTTACGATTTCTTTCTCAGTCAATTATGAATTCGTTATCTTGTTTAACCATCTCTGGATAGTTTAATGGTGAAAGGGAACCGATTACTTTAAAAATATAAGTTTTTTACGTTGCCAGTTTGATGCGCTTTTAGGATAGCAGTTTAGATAAATAGAATTTATTACATTTGATTACAGTTCTTCTGATGAAAATAGAATTGAATTATTCATCATGGATTGTTATTAACCAGGAAATCACTTGGATTATTGTTGCGTTCTAGTTTTTGACCCTTCATTATTATCTAACTACGATCTCTCAATTGAATATAGTATTATTCGGATTAAATTGGCTATAGTCAAGATTCTATGTACGGTGATTAGTTATTACTGTTTAATCTAACTTTCCATGTAATGATTAAGTCACATTAAAAGTATTTTATTAATTCTACTATGATACTTATTGATGAAACTTTATAAAAATACTATAAAAAGTCATTTCAGACTAAATTTGATGATTTCTTGATATGAAATAAACAGGACATATTATATGCACCATGACACTTTACTTATAAGTAAAGTAAATGATAAAGTTTTATCGAGATCACAAAAGTCATTAACCTATAACTATAGTCAATCGCTTAAATGAACTTTATCATTCTTTATGCTTACCAAGCTTTTGTAAAAGTTTGACTGACCTATATACTATTACTTTTTACAGGCCGTCATCATGCGATTCATTTTGTAATCTAAGTATCTACCAGTAAGCTTTACTGAAGTTTCAGAGAGAAAAAAAGTAGTGCTAGAACTGGTTGTTGAACTAGATGATTTATGCTTCACTTGAATAATGTTAGACTAAAAGATCTGAATTATTCACAATGAAATCCTCAAGCCTAGCAAATTTATAAAAAGAATCTGGTATAATTTTTTTTATCGCCAAACCACCCAACTGCGTATTCATTAAAAAATGAGTCATACCCCTAATAGTTAATAGGTATTTAGTGTACTATGAATAATCATAAGCTAATCACAGAAGTATTCAAAACTGAGCTTACAGACATGTTTCGAAGATCTAGTAAATTACCTAATTATGTATATGAATGAATTTAACGAATTTTTTAAAAAGTAAAAGGCATTTTTATAGAGGCAAATAAAATCAAAAATACCCATTTATGCTATTTTCGAATAAACTGATTTTATATGACTTGCCTTGTTTGGTTTTATACTTGTTTCATTTGACTCAGGCATATCTAGTCGCTTAAACTGTTGATTTTGTTCTTGTTTATTATTTTGGATGATTAGATTTGGATCTTGCGAATCAATTTTTATATTCGTCACCTTTTTTCTTTTAACAGTTTCTGATAAAACAATATAACTCTGTTCTTTACGCCAAATTCTCCATGACTGATGATGATATCGAAGAGAAAACTAGAAGTTTGATATTTTATAAAATTAACTTTTTAGGTTCCTAGTAAATTACAAATATTCATAAGTTGATAAAGTATGTGTGGCAAACACAAAAGAAGTCACTAACGCTGCTTAAAAATTTTTAAAATATGTTTCTAGAAAATTCAAGTTTGTTTAACATGTGCACCCTAATGATGCATGAAGTTAACAGAAGGTACTTTAATTTTAAAAATATCATTAAAAACACAAGAACGTACTTATACCTAAATGATTTTTAAGTGGAAATTACAAATGTTTGCTTGATTACGCGAAAAGAATTGAAGACTTCCCAACGAATCACCAAAATTCGAAAAATAACATTCGATGGACGCGTTAATACATTATTAAGGAAATAGTTGGAGCAAAAAAATTGTTTTATGTTACTTAACTTGTACTAGTAGGTTTGTTATCTTGAACCTTACCTAGGGCAATTTTGAAATAAATTTTTATGACAGTCAACCTAAAAACTATTTCATTTCGATCAAATCTTTAAACAAAATTGAACTTTTATTGAATGTTTCCAACGGTAGTTTAGTCGGCCACACTAGAAACGGTTATTAGAAATCATTGAAATGATTTCCTAAGCGTGATAGGTTTGTAAGATAAGTATTAGTTTAAAAGAAGACAGAAGAGTTTAATATCGACTTCTCTAGCTAGTTCCAAATATCACTAAAATTACTTTTGAGTGGTATTTAATCGTAAAATACTTGTGACGAATTTATACGCTTTTTGACAAAATTTAAGCTGAATAAAAATCTTTTTCTGATATCCTAATGGACTATCAAATTCATATTTGTTAGTATGAAAAGCCAGTGACTTTCAGTAAAACTGTTTTTAATTGACTGCTGATTGCTTTTCAGGACAAACAAATTCAGTACTTACTTGAGGTTCATGGACCGGAAAACACATTGAAGTAATGACCTCAAAGCTACAAAAAGCCTTAAAGAAACACATAACAACACTTTCGTGCATCTTACAGATCTACCTTTAGCTTTTAGAGACTGCCAATAGGAATTTTACAATCCTTACATTCTACAGAATCCAAAGGGGTTTTGCAAAAGATGAGAAAGTCCCAAGGACATTGATTTAGTGGTTTCGCAGTATCGTATATTATGTATAACTATCAAAGCGCATATTACATTTAATCGTATTTTGAATTAAACAATTTATTTTGAACTGCTTTGCTCTGTTATTCGAATTTTGTTGATCATGATAAATTCAGTACTCACCATTAACCAAATATTAAATACTAAAAGAAGAAGGCTGCATAATAATCCAAGAAAAAAGGACTGCCATGGAAACCTTTTTGAACTAGTACTTTTTTCATCCTGATTCGAAGAAATCGCCAACCATGCGCACAATGTGAGCAAAGGTACCATTATTAGCAGGCAAATTAAATCTGTCCATAAATATCTGCGACGGTGTATTCCATCTCCTTTCCCTCCCATCCATAACCACTAATTTAATAGAAATGAAAAAATCCGTATGACAATACTAGGTATAATTCCAAACAAATTGGGAGACACAAAGTAAATTATAACGGTCCATCTGGAGCATTTCTTAGACATAATGAACCGGGCATAAATAGAACATTTTGTACATGACGTTAACAATGAACTACATTTATCCAGTATTCTAACAATCATATTGTTTCCCGACTTAAAAATTTAGGAAATTAAAAAATAACATCGAAACCCGAATAACCATCACATCTTTAATTCCAAGAATCAGTCATTGGACTTTAACTCCTGTTGTTTAGATAGACAGTTTAGACGTTGACCTGACTATGTAGCAGCACTTACTCTTCTACCTTTATAATTAAAAACCCCCATATATCTACTGATTTTCAAGCTCACAGAATCCAAAAAGACACTATCTAAATATTCAATGTATTATCAACGTTAAAGAACCTAAGAATGGCAAAAAAGAACAACAAAGTTTTGCCATAATACTTTCTTATTTTCTTCTATGAGTAGGAATGCATTTCATAACGCAACCAAGTTTAATACTTTGAGGATTAAAAATAAGGCGATCTTAAGACCAAACAACAACTTAACTGCTCTTCATATTCAGGTTCTTCCTAATATCCACTATTTCAAGTAGCGACTATTGAATACTGTTTTGAGTCACTTTAAATATTTTTCTTTAGTAGATTGAAAGCCGCAAAATATGCTGACAGCGTTCTCCAGGTCTCAAAGTAAAGAAAGGTTGACATGGATAGTTGAAACTTATCTTTTTAGTGTTCTTTAAATGAATTAACGATAATGAAAAAAACTTTCATAAATGAGTTCTTCATTTTGATTCAGTAGTCTTACCTTGTAGAATTACCATAATATGTCTTTGTTCGACAAAAACAGTTAATGTTTTGATTCCGAATGAATAAATAAAACAGGGCTTCGTAACCACATTATGCAAATTTTGTTTTAAAATGTATCATTTATGTGTGAAAGAATACATAATTGTTCTAAACCAATAACAATAAATGATTTAAGTCACGTACATTGTGAGTATTATGCCTACATAACGTCTACAAATATTTTTCAGTTGTCCTCAGGCAAGAATAAGGCTACATTACTTTTAACTTCCTTCTCTTAATAATAAATTAATGCAGCGGTTATATAAGTAGTGAATGATTTTTAGATCGATACTCATTCTGTACATTTAACTGTCTTTTTTAAGTCCTCACATAGTGGTCCATCCTTACCTACAACAGTACCTTGAGGACCAATCTGTGATTGTCAGTTTCACTGTGTGCATTACCGAATGTTCATTAATAACATCAATGGTGCAGTTTATAGACTCTGCATTTTTCAACAGAACCATTCTTACTAAAATAATAAAATAAAAACTGGAAACCAAACTGTATTATGATCCAGTTTTCGAAGCCCGTGGAAAAAACTGTTTTCAGGCTGAAAAATATTTTGTAATTCACCGAGTAATTGGGTGTTGCTCTATGCATGATGACTTGTATCTGTAACTAGTGATACAAATGTGCCCAGGAACAAATTTTGCAAGTAAACTGTACTAATTTCCACTTAATTAAAACATATTCCTCATGAGTTAAAACGGATTTCACAACGTATATCAGGTCCTCTGGGCCATATGTTGATTATACAAGACCACTTTTTGGGTAGTATCGACAAACCGGGCAGTAATGACTGCTTTAGCAGTAGAGATTATGGACTCAATTCTTAGTACTAGTAAATGAAGTAATATCTGACGTTTCTCAACTGTCAAACCATAGGAAAACCATCTAAAAGTCAGACTTTAACCTTCTTCTATGCCAAATATGGTTTTTCACTGTTTTAGGTAGATTTAGTGAGTATAATATATGGCACATTTAAACTGAAAATATATTTTATTTTATGAAATGAACGCATTGTAAACCAAAATTCATCGACATCATTATATAAGAAACAGACCTTACAAAAGTGAGGATAATGTTTTAAAACTTCAAAAGTAAAACCGCATATTTCACAGGCTCTGGATCGAGACAAGTTTAACCACTTCTCCAAACACCGTTGATGAACAATGCCAATTGTTCCTATTACCTTCGTGAAATGAAGAAAAGATATTCGTTTTATTACCTGCACAAAAGCAAGGGCTTATCAGTTCTTCAAAGTCACTGGACCCCAAGCATATACGACAATAAATCACATCGCTTTTTATTCTAAGGAAAACATCAGGTTTATGACAAACTGAAATATATGTTTTACCTCTCAGGCTGCGGAGCCGTTTTCGAAAATTCTGAAGTTTTCATAAACGATGCATCTATAAGTGGTGGATGAAGTTCTAAAAGAATCGTTACAATCGTTCAATATTGAGCTCATACCACGAAGACGTATAGAATATTTGAAAAGCACACCAATATATTCAAACAAACAAACAAACAAACACTAGATGCCTCTATATTTAGGTATGCTCGGATAAATACTCATCTGAAAACTAGGAATTTTTGGAGTTTAGAAAGTTTCGTATTCGTGAACTGAAAAATGTACTCCAAAACTACAGATTTGAGGAAGGTATTCATACAACGGTTATGTGAAATATAGTTGTGACACTCAAAAATAAGTGAATGATGAACTGTTGCAGAACAGTTCATTTGTCACACTACGTATAGAGGATTTCCTGTAAACCTGTTGCCAGTTTGTATTTGGAGAGTATTCTCCAACAAAACCTTTATTATTTAGCATTTTGGTACCGAATTGTTAACTGTTGACTGTCTAACAACGTATTATCTTAATCAAATGGGCGAAGGTGATTGGGTCTGTTTAAGTGTAGAGTTAGGTCAATTTTCTGAGAAACTGTTGATATATCTTAAACTTACACATGCTTATATTTTCATTTTTAACCTAATTAACAATTTTCAAGCTCATTTCTTTACAACGGTGTCACATTAAACTCTAAGCCAGCCACTTAAACACGTCATCTTCTGAAATTTGGGAAAAAACAGGGACTTTAGTATGAGAGAGAAGTAGACGAATGTCAGACTATGAACTTAACCATCCAGAAGAAGACACATGTCTCATGTGAATGCTCCGAGTTGTTGTCGACAAGCTTCAACCAGATCCCTCGATTATCCCTGCATTATTTTTGAGCGACTGAAGGGTTGCTAGTACTGAGTGACTAGCAAGCGCCGCACCCCACTGCCTTACCTTGAAATCATTAATATTTTCAATTTTTGTTGGCCGAGAATGCAAAGGCAACAAATCCATAGTACCCAAATACCACTAAGATAACTTTCCAGACTAGATGTGGTCTCCCAGGCCACTGCAGCACTATCATCTGGTATAAAGCGTTTCAACATTGTTCAGTAACAGTAAACACTTTTTCGTACACAGACAAAATTTTATTTCATGCTTTTTGACAACCAGTTTGCATTGACGTAAGCAATGGCTCCTTAATCTAACAGAGAAAAATATAACTATGTTCAAAACAACGAGATGAAAATAGAAGATTTATCAGATTGTTCTTGTGTATATTACTAATTTTAGCTCTCCGTGAACAACAAAATTTGTAATTATAAGTTATTTGTCTTCTCCCAGTCTAGACTAGAGAACTTCATTGGTGAATGCTTGTCAAAGGATTTATAGAGACTTTGGACCATAGCGACACGATATATGATGTTGAACATACAATAACTCAGAAGACTTATGTTAGGCGTTAAACATATTTGTGATACCAAGACATGGTACAGACGATTCGCCTAGGGAAATTCGAAACTCGTAATACCAAACAGGCAATCTACCTGGTCTCTGAAATCCTCAGGGAACGGATGGAGTATGAATTTATTCTCGATCACCAGCTAGCAGGTGACCTCACCACTTAGTGTTGTTCCATTAAGTTTTGCATTAAAGCTATGGATCGAAGATTCCAGTATTAGCCTCCCAAATAAACCATCTGCCTGTGCTTAGACACTCGGGCAGTATTTTAGCCGATAAGCAATTCGACTAATCAGAACTGAAAAAATACTCTTGTTTTAATTCACACTGTCACAAACTGTATTTATAAATATTTGGTAACATCAATTTATATTTTACATAGAATCACCCTTCTATTCTGTTTAATTATCATTTGTGTATGCCTATATTTTTCAACTCACGTAGCAGGTCACCTATGGCGTCCTGGTTGTGTGTTACGAACCAATACAAACCGTGAACCGGACTAAACGAAACCACATATCCCATTCCAACAGGCTTATTTCGATGTTTGCACACTGATGTAGATCAGACAAGAAGAAGAGTATCTATATCTTAAAATCGATATCTATAGTCTATACAAGACCCGTATTCAAGACTCTAATGAAGTGCCAAATCTTTTCTCTCCATCTACCGCAGCTAAGAGCTTCATCTGCGTACACTTATCCCGGTACGTAATGACATCTTTATCTGATTTCGATGGAGTTGGCTTAGCAGTAAGTGCTAGAACTTCAAGAGCACTTAGGGTCTTCACCCCCAGTTAACTGTCGCCAGCTGTTGCTAGATTGGAAAACTCCACCCAGGTAGAAAGAAAACAGTGCGAGAAACGATGTCTTGACGTTATTTCCGCGTACTCATCGATAGTTTGTAGTCCAAATGCGACTAAGCATCATTTTTACCACAAGTAATCTTCTATAGGAATTCTATTAGACAGATACTGAGGACTTGTAACAACTTATGGTTGATTAGTAAAGATCTGACCATAAAAATCTGTAGTGGTATCAGCCCCAACCACACATTTCCTAAAGCTGAATATGAAATAACTGGAAAAATAGATATTTAACATTCAACACGGAGAGAAAGCCAACAGTGGTGAACGCGGGGTTATTCATCCATTCAGTCAGATGGCTTGGCTCAGCCTCGCAGATGTGGTCATTCTGTGAAAATTGTCTCCACTTATATGAAATATATTATTCTATCCTTAGCCCATATGCATTCTCCAAGAGCGCCAGACGTCATACTGCTAATTCCTACGATACGAGCCACGTTTGATAATAATGAGACCACCATGTAATATCTCACAGATTAGATAATCATATCATGACAATCCACAATTTTAGGATTAAGTCCATCATTATAGCAGCATTAATAACGAACCTAGACCACACACCTAAATATATATCAAAACAATGAAGCCCGAGAATCTGTTCACTTCCTTATGCTGTGAAGAGATTATAAATCTTATTTTCTTATATTGAGTGTCCAAATCTTCGTGTGTTTGAACAGGTAGCCTCGCTCTCGACTGAGTGCCACCCATGAAAAAAATATGAACCTATCCGCTACCACCACGAAATACCTACAAACTGGGTGACGTGGTACAAGAGGGAGTCTTGTGAGCAAATGAGAACTTGCTGGTGGCAGATCAAATAATGGTGACCGTCTGATAAAACGTCTCAGACAGCAACGTGTTCCTGGCTGTCACTAAGTAACAGTGCAGTCACCATCTCTTTCTATCTCAAGTGTGGACTCAAAATGATCACGTTATGCTTGGCCTCCCTGTTGTTGTTGCGTGAAACTCGCTCTAGAGCACTTTCCTGGACTCGAACTATGCTCTTAATTGCTTCCTTACTCCTGTTACTCCTCATAGAAGATCATGGGCTGCACGCAGGTATTCTCCAACCAAATCTAACCTGAGCAATCCTTTCCAGTTCTTTCCTGTTACCATTCATCCCTTTCATGCCTGCCATCAATTCCCAGTGCAGCATATTCTTGGGTCCTGCTATCTGCCGTTTTTCTTTAGAGTTCCAAGTTAGCGCTGGTCTCGTGATGCAGTTTGATGTTTTCCGTAACGTCTGTCTTATGTACACCCATCGTCTTTTTTTAGTTCATCTTCAACTCGAAGTTGGTTTGTTCTCTTCCACAGCAAGCTACTGATAAAGGTATTCGGTCAATGGACATTCGGTATCTTATACTTGTACTTTTTCGATAATAGTTATGGTAGTTCCCCGAAATCCAGCTCCGTACTATAGAACTGTCCTGTTGCTCGCATCGAGGATTCTGGTTTTGATAATGATTTTCAGACAATTGTTTCGATTTCCAGATGTTGTTGGGTTGTGGGAATGTCGTTCTCATTTTGCCAATTATTGCCTATACATCTGCATGGGATCCTCTTTGTTCATCGATGATACTTCCTTCGTTCATGAAAGACTCACATCTTCCACACCTTCTCCATCAAGTGTAATTGTGTTGGTGCTTTCTGTGTTTTATTTAAGGATCTTTCTCTTTTTTTCTTGCGTATTTGGAGGCATACTGATACAGGAGTTGCTGCTACACTTGTTGTTTTGATCTGTATTTGTTACTGTGCATTGGATAGAAGGTTCAAGTCGTGTGCGAAGTTCAAATCGTCTAGTTGCATCCAATCTGTCGATTGTACTCCAAGTTTCTTTTGATGTGTGTATGTCCTTGTGATCCAGACGACCAGGAGAAGAAAGGGAGAAGGCAAGAGTAAGTAACGTTGTCTGAACCCGTTCTCACTTGATATGCATCCGTCAGTTGTCCTACGTACACGACCTAGGAGTGTAGTCCGTCGTATGAATTCCAGGTGATCTTGGAGATTTTTTCAGGTACGCCACAGTGCTAAAGAGGTTCCCACAATGTCCTCCTATCCACATTGTCGACTGCATTCCCATAGTCAAGGAAGTTTATGTATAGTGATGAGTTCCATTAAATTGGCCATTCAACGATTATCCGTAGTGTCGTGGTTTTTCTGTGCACAGCCAATACATACAGAATCCAACCAGTTGATCTGAAAGATGGATGTCTGTTGAATCGGAAGGTCTGTAGGTGCTACTTTGATGTCTGGTGTATTCAGTGGAGCTGGCCTATTCAAGAGTTCCTAGAACTGTTCTACCCATCTGTTCCCCTGTTCTTGAATCTCAGAGATTGGCTAGCCCCCTATGTCCTCGACCGGTCTCTCTGATTTATTATGTTCCTGATAGTTTTTCGTTGCGTTATATAGCTGTTTAATACTTCCTCCACTTGTAGCTTCTTCCGCTATCGTTGCTAGCTCTTCCACATATTTCCGCTTGTCAGTTATAGCACTCTTCTTTGCTTGTTCGTTTGCCTCTGAGTATCCAGCTTGTTCCTTGACTTTATCAGTTTTGGTTCGGTAGTTACTATTTGTTGTCTTCTCCTTCGTTCCTTTTTGAGTATTGTCCAGGATTTCGACAGAGATCTATTTCATATGATGATGCTTCTTGTGACGCGGAACCTACTGATACGTTAAAGGTAGTGCTTCTTTGATAACTTCTCAGTTGTCCTCCATAGTGGTTCTTCTTTGAGTAGATCACGTCAAGTTTGAAACCTGTTCCTGAGAGTTGCTTTGAATTCGTTGAGTTTGTCAGCATGTCGAAGGTGGATTGTGTTGAACCTTTGTAATACCGTTTCCCCAGTTGTCCAGTGCTTATTTAGATTCAGTTTCATCCTGTCAAACCACCAGGTGGTGGTCTGTCACAGATATGGTCGATTTGATTTTCTGTGGTATGACCCAGTGATGCCAATGTAGCCTTGGATATACGTTTGTTTGGGAGTATTTTGTCACGTGTAACCATTATGTTGAATGCACTTAGATTTGCGAATTTCTTTACATTTTCTTCCCTTTCTCTTAGTCAGTCTATATCGTCTCATTATATATTCACACCTGGTGTTGTCGTCCTTTACACATACTGGAAGAAACAAGTCGTGGACAAAGTGATAAACTGTATGGGCTTTAATTTGCTTACATAAGAACTTGACCAATGCTAGTAAGACCAGAATGAATATTTTAAAAGTGCGTCGAGACAAACATTTAGAATGAATGCAAGTAAATCCATAACTGTTTATATGGTTAATCCTCAATCAAAACGTAAAATTTGACAAAACACTTTGGGCTTTTTGATAATGCTATGAGATAACAAATTTAAGCTCTTAGTAAACACAACTACAAATCCTTCTGAAATATTATAGATATTAGTGAAGCAGTAAAACAAAATTACATTTTTGACACATGAATTCGGTGGTGTATCACGACAGTCATGAAAAAAGGAAGAAAAATAAAGAGACAATATGCAGGACAACATTTCTGGATGGGAACGTTGAGTCGTTATGATGTGACTATTTATACGTTTCTTTTTACGAGGTCAATTTATACGAAATTGTATTCAGATATGTAACAGAAGGTGAGACAAAAGTAATTAAGAATAGCTTAAGAACTGCATGAATGGAGTAAATTAGTTATATCCCTCTAGACCATAAGTAAACAAAACGTTTCCTTTTACAGGTATATGTAGACTGAGGTTACTTCCCTTCCATCATCTTTGCTGTTCAGAGAAGCGATCCTCCCCACTTTTGTGATATTGAGTTGCATAAAATTTATGATACGTCTCAATATTGCTCTAATCTAAGCTCTCTAGTGCACACTTTGTTGGAATTTACTGTCTTTACGATTTCCACGCCACAAGCTAATCAAACAGCTTAAGCTTCTGTATTGTGGTTGAGGTATCTACCCATTATATCACACTTCTATGAAGATAACTAATGGTAAAAATAGATAGCTGATCAAAGAATATGATAGAGAAAGAACTTGGGGTTGCAAAATCTAAATTAATCAACATGCAGAGTACAAAATACTTGAACGCTAGTGAGTTCGTAATATTAGTTTGTTTTTGGCTTAGTTGAACATGAATTACAAGAAACTCACAATAATTCAAGACAACATGAGCTTTTTATGTTCGACCACGGTTGAGCAGCATCTATACTTGTGAGTTGTCGGTCTTTGTGATATAGAAAATAAGAAGGGACATGGAGGTTTATGGAAATTGTGTAACTTTAATCATTAACGAAATAATGTCTAGAGGTTTTACCCGTTTAGTTTAAACAGTTATAGGAGAACTTGCATATTTCTACCATGCTGATTTTATAGGTAGCTTTAGTACAATATGGAATCTCCAGCATGACGAATTTCAAAAGGTGTCTTACATAAATCACGAGAAAGTTGACAACTGAATATATGTATGCATAGATTAAGTAGATAACTTGGTAAAATGCTTTTTAGTCGGGTATGAATAGGTGCAACTTTTAGTCGGAAAATGTCTGAGAATACATTCTACCGACTAGGTCATCTCTTGCAACCCGTTCGTCGCAGTATATTTTCTAGATAAGGTATTGTATGGGTTTTGTATCATTGCATGTAAGCGTAGGTTTTGACTTATTGGCACCTCATCCTATCAGAGGATATACAAGAAGAAAGGCGTGAATAAAGTGGATGATTAATATCTGATCAAAAACCAACTGCAATGGTTATGGAAGATTTTAAATGTCTATCCAAAAACATATTCATAATAACTTCAAAAGATTCACTATGCACCCTACTTACTGTCTTCAGCACTATCTGCAAAATCTTTCCTCAAAAGCCCGGTAAATAACAACGGGGTACAGTAAGTGGCAACATGTAGTATAAAAGAACTTACATACCGTAAAACTGAATATTTAGTTAGGTCAAAAGCATTTAGCTTCGTTATTTAACAAATCAGACGCTAAGCTTTCTTTCACATTAGTAAAACATGGAAAGACCAAGAAAAATCAGAGCTTACTCCCAGATAAATGACCTTTAACAGCCTGTATATAAAAATACCCTGAAGTGCAAAATTGAAGGGATTCCGGTGGGGTTCTTAAATACTGTCCATGTCTCAGGCTGTGCTTAACAGCTTAAACTTTAAAAAGATCAAGTGTAAAGCAACCCAACAGACATTCGTTTAATTAGTAAAACAACTCACTCATTGCGAGGGGATGCGAAGAGTCTAAAGTAATTGTGCATACAGTGAGAGTGTAGTGACCTACTTTTGTCAACAGAACGCGATTGGTTCGATGAAAACAATTATTATTATAACCAATTGTACCAGTGACTGTTTTACTGTGCTCGTTTGTTTAACTGTGCTAATAACAGCCATTTTAGTCTTCCATTGTATTCCATTGCTTCTACGCGGTTTTCGAGTACGCACGTATCTTTTCTTGCCGATCGCACCTGTACTCCTTTGGCACGATCTCGGTATTCTTTCGATACCACGAGATTGCCAACAAATATATTACGACTACTACTATCATCTGCCTTCTGATTTTTGGCCTACCGGAATCTTATTGGTCTATTGGCACGTAGTCTTGTAGCGGTGTTCATAGTTAAGCTCAACTCGACACCACGCTACAAGAGAATCAATATACTTAGCAAAAGTGTCACATGTAGAGGGCGACAGATAATGCAGAAAAAATGGGAACAGTAAAATGAATAGAACAGTCCGTTGTAGTATGCCGTTCTGACTCAATGAAAGTTTTAAACACTGTCCTCTAAGCTCGAATGCCGTTCTCTTCCAGAGGATTTTAAACACACTCGGTTGGTTATCTAGCTTTCAATGTTGACACTACCGACCGTGCTAATTAGTGGTGATCTTGTAATGAAGTTAAAAACTAAAATGTAGTCTAGAAATTCTCATCGAATATACTACCTACTCTTATTCAATCTGAAAACAATATAATGATACGGAACAACACGAGCATCTGCGGTACCTCATTCACATTTGTAAGGAAACTAACACGGACTAATATGCTCTTCTAAAGCGGGTTCGATTGGGGACAGCAATAGTTTTTCCATTGTTTTAAGAAAGTAAAATGTTGTTGCTTTGGGCCTAAGTCTTGAATTTTTATCTCCAGATAGTTTCTTTGGCATCGGGATTATCCTTATCTTTCACCATAATTCGGGTATAAGGATTTGTAAAAGAAGCTCATAAGCGGACGGTACAGAATGTCAGCACCTCCTTAAGAAGGAGGTTTGGAATTTCGGCGAGCCTCAAACATTGGGATGGTTAAAGTATTTAGAGACGTTTTCCGACATCAGCTTCAGTGAGGTTTGTAACATAACTCTTCTCTAAACCAGTGGATATTGGAAGCATGACATGAGGTGGCTGACGTGTGAAATATTTATTTTAGTGACAAACATGGGCATGCAAAATATTACCACACGGCCACATATAGCCATTGAAACGCCCAAAATCCAGATTGGCAGTCAGATTATTTTGGCCTAAAGCATAGATTTATTTGAAGTGAAACATACATAGATGATTTATGTCGTCTTCTTTGTCTAGATTGTTGTAGTGAGTTGAAAGGTGTATGGTCTTCGGAAGAATGTTGATCGACACCACCATTTGTGTCCTGAAGACAAGCATCTGATCTCGATGGATTGCGCTTACGCTCATATGTATAAACATATCTGGGTCATTTTTGTTATTCTTCATACTGATTCGACATACTTGATTTGTTTATACTGTACAAAGAATTATTAGCCGCAGAAGTATTATCACTTTGTATACTTCAGGCAGGCCTCGAAGTTATCCCAACTAGTATATTGCTGCGACAGCATTATATGATTGGAGATTAATCCTCTAGCATGTCAGCACTTTCGTTATATGAAGGATGGAGGCTGTCAGACACAGTGTGGCTGAACTGAAACCCAATTTAAAATCGTATTAATTTCACCGCTTCTGGAAAAACAAATTGTTGAAGTGACGCACCAATCGTTTTACGACATTTCGACCTTCAAGTGCTCAGTAACCTCCGACAATGGTCAATGACACTGGCTTGTTGCCGTGATCGCTTTGCACGTTGGTTTGTCTTGTTTCCATTCCTACAGTCATAATATTGCACATCCTGGTTGCTAGACAAACACTTGACAAAATACTCACAATTACTTGGTGTATTTTTCTGTTTTTATGGTTAGTAAACTATGTAGTGCGAGCACTTATGATTTACTAATAGGCTAACGCTTCATAAGGATTACGTTCCTCACGTTGGTGACTGTGAATGCCAGTAGCCCATTGGGAAGCAATTGGCTCTAAATAAGCACTTGCTTTTTTTCGCAGGCATTTTTTCAGAGCTGAGAAACACCTTTATTTTTTTTACCAAGCAACCTATTAGTCATCACTTCAAGTTCGTAAATACATTTGGTTTGACCATATTTATTTTGCCTAAGACGGATTCCCACCGCAGCTGTGTTGTTCCTAGAAGTCCCGTGCTCGGCATTCAACATTGTCTTAGGATTCAGTACTGTTTCCCCTTTGTTTCCATTGTTACATTTCACTACCATCAATGCGTCGTTTCATTAGGTCTCAAATTCGGTTAGTAGGTGACGTTATGTTCTTCATAAATGTGGGGTAAACTCACGAATGAAATTTTTGTTGGCCACATTCCTGAATAGACTAAAGAAAGAAATATATTTCGTGTCGGTTGGAAACCCCATAGTTCGGTTATACATGTGTAGATTTGGTCCAAATAACTTTTTGTATCCCCAGTGTATTTCATACATTAGTAGTGCCCTTCATAATGCTTTTGAAGTGATTTTCACAGAAGGCCATAGTAGGTTTGTTCATAACCAATGTTACAGTCGTAGTTGTGTATTTCTTGACCTTATTTTTATTTTACAGACAGTCAATAAGAACACACAATGTCTCTCGTCGTTGTCGGTGATGAAACCGAACTCCGAAGGTTGATAAAAAATGAGCGGTAGTGATCTTTTGGGGTAATATATATGTACATTTTAGAAAATTAGTAGTTTTCTTCTCATTACCTAATGTGCCTCAATGCGATCAAGTACATAATGCCCTGAAAACACTTAAGGAAGATACAGTGAACTCAGAAATTTTGTTCGTCTATGTAAGTTACCCACCGTATTTTTTTGGCGAATGCAGAACAGCTGACCATCAGTTAAAGTCAGTTGTTTACAATTCGCCATACACTAAGCGCATTTGTTCCTAGCCAGCTGTTTTAATACATTAGCTAGGCTCTCATTTAAATGCTACAGTACTAATTATTCACCTATAAATTAAGACTAATCCTGCTAATTTTAGTCTAAAGACCTACTAGTACGATTAACTTCCAGTAGAAGTAACAGTTCAGTGCGCTTGTTTCTGTAATACTATGAAGTTGTACTCTTTTTGTGCGCTTCCAATTTCTAGGTGGATGCGGAAGCCGTTTCTGAGGTTTCAAAACAACTGAAAATAATTTCTGTTCCTACAGTTTTATTCTTTCAGGTAAGTAATGGACTCGTACTGTTTTCATGGAATTAATCTGTCACCTTAATCTTATAAAAATAATCTGATGCAACCCAGTAGTTAGATACAGGTGCTCGTAGTCAGTGTTTGGCCATTTTATGTGACTGGACTGACATCTGGTGTCTCAAACCTAAATATAGCAGTTTCCGAATCCTATGGAAATTTGAGTGAGTTAATTACTTTGTGGTCGTCCCGCTCTCCAACTAAGCATATGATTTTCTGCCTTTTTACAAAAATCAATGTCAATCCTTGTCGCTCTCCCAGTATGAACGATATTACACCGATGTGATGTAATTTTACCTAAACGTTTACAAAAACTCCTATTATCGGACTTTAAGGCACCTTCAGGTTCACCAGCTCTTCCCATTAATTTGCAGCTTCTGTATAGTGCCACCGATCCTAAACGGTAGTAAGCTTGTCCTCTACGTTCGGCACCAGACGTCTGTTGAAGAAGCCCACAGACAAAACACGAAAGCTGAATTCCAACGACTTATTTTTCTTAGGACTCCACACATGTAGTCGTTGACCGATCAAAATTATTAATGCATGTAAAGTTATTCTGGTGAACCGTACTTTATTGTGACGTACTTTAGTCATTTTATAATTCTGTCAAACAAGTTCATTTGTACGGGACTTTCTTAACCATCCACTAAATGAACTGCGAGCTTTGATCACGTGGTAGGATCTTATAAGACTACCCTTGGCGGTCAGATGAACTAAAATATTAACTAAGATCTGGGAACGGGATGTAATCCCATCTGGTCTTGATCACTGGCCGTCACAGTTTGTAAGAAAGGATTAAAATCCTCTTCTGATAATCACAGGTATCAGTTTCACCAATGTAGTGTCTAAAATATTAACATCGATTATACTTGGATGTCCAGTTAGAGCTCGTGAAGAGCAAAACCGATAAAACCATGCTGGTTTCAAACCCGTACGTGTGTGTAGACCAAATATTCTAGAAAATAGACAATTTAGACGTCCGACCATAGTTGTATTCTTTAATCTTAAGGCAGTGTTCGACTCTTGATCGTGAGGTTCTATGGTAGTGTTTCTCACTAGAGGGCGTACCAAAAAAGTACACCAACCTTAAACAGGCTCCCTACTCGGACACTACTGGTCGTGTCAGAGTTTATGGCCAACTGTCATCGCAATTGGTTAATTCAAGTGGTGTTTGTCAAGGTTATCTGTTCTCCCTATTTTTATTTAACTTTGTCATAGACATGCTTTTAGAGATAACACTCTTCGTCTCACATTTCAGGGATTAATCTTTTACCAGGAAATTCACTTGTTGACATAGTTATGTTTGGCAAAGATGCTGACAAAATGCAGACAGTCAGTCAGCTACAACGTAGGCCCAGGCACATATATGCATCAGTCCAAGTTGCCATACCGCATTAGCACAGCAAGTCGAACACCGGATTCATAGGAGTACTATAGCAACTCACGTTCGATTGAGTTTGCTCTCATCTAATTCGGTTAAGCCCTTTTGTTAACTTATTAAACGGACAAAGTCATCTGCACTATGATAACTTATTGTACCTTTATTATTGTTATGCTTGTATTAATAAGTATGCTTGAACATTGTTGACTGCCCACGCATATATTCATCCCGCTAACCTTATTATTAGCCACTTAATCGATTCGATAATCCATTTATATATATATATATATATATATATATATATATATATATATATATATATATATATATATATATATATATAACACTTTCACATCCAAGGTTCGCTGACTCATTTATTCGGCTCTCTGCTCTGTGATTTGAGTTACCTGCTAATAAAACTGTAGTAGCTGCTTCTCTTTGCCTTCTGATTTCAAACACCGTTAAGGGATTATGCGATAACGGTTACGAGGGTGATTGGTCCACGAAGCACAGCCACTACAGTACTTAATTCAGTGGTGGTAATATATAGAAGAAAGATTGCATATAAGGAGATAGTACAGGAAGAAAGAATTAGTTCCTAGAAAGATATGAAGCGATTTTAATCTTTTAGTTTAAAGGAAAACAGAGAGTGTACACACCGACGCCATTGTGATCGATTCTGAGCCATGTCACCAAGAGTCTCCAACCATTGGTTACGATAGTCACGCGGACCCCAACCAGGTAGTCTGCATCTACCAACATGGCTCAGAAGTTAGTGACTTCAAGCACTGATGCCACGTTTTGGTTTGGCCGCCCCTAACTTTCTTCCAATTATCCCCAACACCGGTTAGTATTGCGCGTCGTGGTAATCGGTGTTCAAGCGTACGCAACACGTGGCCCAACCATCTCAGTCGATGAAGATTCACAACCTCATCAACTGATTTACCACCATTCCCTAATACCCTACGTCTAACCTCACTATTACTTACCCGGTGATCCCAGCAGATGCGAGCAATATTTCTAAGGCACCTGTGGTCAAATACTAGTAACTTACGAGTATCTTCTACTCTTAAAGACCATGTTTCGCTGGCGTATAGTAGAACGGAACTAACTGCCGCGCAGTATACTCGACCCTTAATTGATAGACGGATATCTCGCCTGCGCCATAGGTGATGTAAGTTGACGAAAGCCAAACGAGCTTTTCGAATCCGTGCTGAGATTTCGTCAGACACCAACCCATTAGGGCTGATAAAACGTCCAAGATAAGTGAAGTTGTCAACGCGTTCGACTACTTCACTCCCTATCCTTAGTTCAGATGTTGATGCAGACCATTCCTGAAGCAACAACTTGCATTTAGAGGGAGAAAAGCGCATCCCAAACATTCTGGCATTGTTGCTCAGTGCTACCAAAAGACTGCATTTTATCAGCGTCTTCACCAAACAGGACTATATCATCTGCGTATTTTAAGTCAATCAGTGAACCTCCTGGTAGGAGATCAATGCCTGAGCACGTTATTTCCATCAGTAGGTCTATGAAGAAGATAGTGGACAGCCTTGGGGGACACCACTTGAGGTTGCAAAAACAGATGGAAGTTCGCCATAAGCTCTTACTCGGCTGGTATTGTTCGAGTAAAGAGCCTTCATAAGATTTATGTACTTCCCAGGTACGTCTTTCAATGACAGACACTGCCACAGAATATCGCTGTTTACGGAGCCAAATGTTGCAGTTTTCTGATCACCTTACGCAACAACATGTTTGGGATGAGGTTTCCTCCCTCCAAATGCGAAATGTTGCCTCAGAATTGACTTGCGTCACCACCTGAATTAATGATAGGTAGTAAAGTAGTTGTACTCATCGACCGCTTCACTTTTCTTTGGAGTCCCATCAGTCCTAAGTGTCTGGTGCCTGAAGAAATCTCAGCACAGCTTCAGAAAGCCCGATTGGGTTTTTCGAACATGCGTCACTAGTGGCTTAGGTGAAGTATCCGTCTTCCAACCAAATTATGGGTTTACTTCTCAGCAGTTCGCTCCGTTTTATTTTGTGGGTGTGAAGCGTGGTGATTAAGAGTAGAAGGTATTCGCACTTTACTAGCATTCGATCAGAGTTGTCCTTGTAGCGTTGTTCGTGTATTCTGAGACCACTGAGTGATAACCGGTCCTGAGGTTAAGCATGGGTCACTAGACAGACGTGGCAAATTGATTTAAGAGGTTGTATATCATCATCAACTGAGGTGGTTGGGACATATGTGCTTTCTGGTGTAGCAGTAGGCCGGAAAAAAGGCAGGGGCAACCAAACCAAAACATGTCATAAATCCATAAAGTCATTGACAATTGGACCTGGCCATGCTAAAAGGTGTAGACTACATGGTTTGGATCCACGTGATTATCATAGCCAATAGTTAGATACTTGGGATGGCATGGCTCAAAGTCGTTTGGAATGCCTCAGGTGTACTTGTTTTCTCTTCTACTAATCTATATTTTCTTTTCGAATCGTATCTTCGATGCAACTTGAATCGATGCATATATGTGCCTGGTCCTACGTTGTAGCTGACTGGATATCCCAACTGATACTGTTACTACTCCTTCTGTTCTGGGATTTCACCTGACAATTTTATTTCTCCGCTAATGGAACGGGGCAAATTGAATCAATGTACGTACGTATCAATTTCTATGTTGCTACTGACTGGCTGATCATTCAAGGTTTATTTAGAACTGCATTAGAAATTATTGTGACTTTTCGGACTAAGAATTGGCTTATTCGTCTGGTGTTTTATTGAAAATTAGGAAGAAACTCTTTCAGGACATATGACGTTTCATCCAATTTAAAGGTTCACTGGTTATTTATTCTGTAATTGACCCCTAAACAGTATCTTACATGTTGCAGAACATAGCCGTTATGTTTCATACTCATGAAGCCAGTATTAGGTCACATGTTATTTAGTAGTTCGTTCACTACGATCATTGCCTTATTGAAGACCATTTGTAGAAAGGGATCTTGTTGATTGTTTAAATTGTCGAATGTTTACGTGCAATAAATTGTATTGTGGCCCATCTAAATTAATAACATCACATTTGCACTGGATCAATTTTGTTGTTTGCCTACAGTTCTCATTTTATTCAGAATTGACGAGTTATTCGAGTGGTCTAAGTACTTGGCTTTCAACCATTGATTTTCAGGTATCAATGCAAAGGTTGGGCTTGATAGTTTCAAATAAATTGAGCATTGTATTTATTTATTTAAACATAAACATAGGTACAAGGAGGCACCAAATATATATGCACCACGTAAATCATTCGATTTGTGTGAGGGCCGAGATACTGTTTAGGTACCCAAACCGAAGCAGGTGGTTTCCTTAGGAGTCAAACCCAAATCTCAATGAGTAGAAAACTTGTATTTCTGACGTTTCGTGACTTGATGTAAATCACTTCTTCAGAGTGGATAAACAACCGAATTGATTGTACCAGAAATATTCTGCATTGTTCCCTTTGTTCAATTTAAACTTGTGTCAGCTTAATTCGGTTATTTATTTACTCTAAAAAGGTGGCTTACATTAAGTCACGAAACGTCAGAAATACAATTTCTCTACCTATTAGGATATAACAAAAATAGTTTTTTTATTATTTGTTTTTAGAGTCAAATTGATACTCTGCATATTTAGGTTTAATCATCAGTTTGGCGATATAATAACACTCACAAATCGTTCAACCTAGATTCGGTTGCACAAATTCATATTTCTTTGTTGAATTGAATTAGTTACCACTGGTTATTCATAATGAATTTGAAATAACTCAAATGGATGTAATTATTTTAGCCTACTTATTCTTTGGTGTTCGCTTATATAGCTGACTTTCGTGATATTTTGTTAGATTTTCTGAAGTTGTTGCATTCAGTGATATGGTTTACGAGGAGATTAAGGTTACACTTTCTATTCAGCGTAAACGACTGTATTTATTTCGTGATTAAAATGCACTTAGAATGAGCAGCTGAGGTTCGTATGTTAATGGCTCAAAAACCAAGCTGTAGGGAATTTTCCATTGAAATGAAAAGGTAAACTCCTTAGCAATGGAACCTGGAAGGCTTGGTTTTCTCATTGTCCAGTGCCTCTTAGTTCAGGAAAATAAATCATCCGTAAGATATTCGTGTTTGATCACATCTCTTCGCTACGTCAAGTCCGTGTGGTTGAAACTGAAATAAGACTACCTTTGCTTTTACGTTCGGCTTTAAGTCATAATGAGATATTGTCAGACTACCGGTAAGTCTTTAATCATATAATAGTTATCTCCAAAGTCGTTCATGTAGAGGGGGTTAATGAAATTTTTTCGCAGTATAATTGTGATAGTCTGGGTATACTAGTAATTAATTGATTCTTAGTATCAATGCTTTAGTTGTTTGATCTGCCAACATTTTTGTTTCCTTAATCAAAAAGTCAGGTGAGGAAATCAATCGCGTTCATGGTGCATCTATTCCTGATGTTACAAAATCTGTCATGAATTTGCAATCAGCACCTGCTAATGGTTCATCCAATGATCTTTCATCACGTCTTCACTCTTTAATTAATAAGGCACCTGTCATGCTTTTTATGAAGGGTAGCCCCGAAGAACCCCGATGTGGATTTAGTCGCCAGATCGTCAGTATTTTGCGTTCTAATAATGCTAAGTTTGAAACATTTGACATCCTACAAGACGAAGCGGTTCGACAAGGTTCGTTCGAATTTTAATCAACCTTTAAGTTTCCCGTTTTATTGAATACAGGTTTAAAATTGTGATTTTTTTATTAGTTTAATGTGTGAAGTCGTTTTGTAGTATTTTGAACTTCACTTGTCTTCCCAGTACCAGCACTTATATTTCCAAATAAATCTCACTTTTTTGTCGTTAACAGATAAGTAGCAAGTACCTAAATGTATTTGTTTATTTTATCTGACTTCATACATTCTGAGCACACAGTGATTAACTGTTACCACAAACACTTCAACCACTGTTTATGCACATAAGAATTATATCATCTGAAGGAATGTTCACTGAAATATTTTAGGTCGTAGTTCTATGGGTATAGTACGTGATATGTTTACTGAACGTACGAAGTTTCATTTTTATCGGTGCTGGAGCTTGTGAGTTGGGCTAATCCTTTTCGAGTTGTTGCTTAAAATGAGCATTTCAAGAATAATACACCAATCAACTGCTTTACCTACAGTTGGTTGTACATATACGTTTTGCGAAAGTTATAAATGTTTAGTGGGAGAGGTATTTAACTAGGTTAATAAACCGTATCTAGTGTGGGACTTATAGTAGTTCAAGATTGAAAATTTTGTCTAGATATCGATTAAGACGTGATTTTTGGAACCACGGATAAAGCTTTTGGATGAAATTTCATGTAAGTTTAGTTAAATAGGTCAGTCTCTCGACTTTCGGTTATGTCACAAGTTTAAACCTCATCCTATCAAGTGCGACTGAAACCTGGATTTGTATTCCCATACCTGAGTCACCAATACTTCATTATTTCTCTAACTATATCAACTTACTTTTGCAATTCAAACTTCGGTTGTGAAAATTTACAGCTTAATTCGTTGGTAACTTGACAGAAGTTCTTATTTGTTTAAACGCCCCCAAATGCCCTGGTACGGCCGAGAGTGGGGAGAGTCCGCTCTCCCTCTCGAAATGCTCTCACATGGCCACGCGTACATAGACCCTGCCAGGAAAGTCCTACTCACTGCCTTCACGTGGCGAGGGTGTTGTTTACAAAAATGAGAGGACGAAAAGCGAATGTCCGGCGCTTTAACCGGACCCCAAACCAATGGTGCACATGGGCTCCAGTATCCTGCGGGAACAAATGGCGTATGAACCAATCGTTGGTCACCGGCTACCATGGGACTGCATCTCCTTACGATGCTCCACTGCCTTGTGGATCAGACGTTCAGGTCAAAGGCTCGGGGTGTGGTCCCCTAAGAAAACCACCTGCTTCGGTTTGGGCACCCTGGCAGTATCACAGCCCTCACACATATCAAATGAGATTCGTGTGGCGCATATGTATTTGGTGCCTCCTTGTACCAATACCTATGTGTTAAAATAAATAATAAATAAATAAAATTTGTTTAAACTTTACTCATAATATTTTAGCCAAGTAGGAATTCGTATATTAATCTTTAGTTGTTTCCTGTCAGTTATGAGCTAGGGGATCCAGCAGATACCTAAACTGAAAGTAAAGTAAGGTTGAAACCTTCTATTTAGTAATTGAAAGTCCAGTCCACCAATGGGTTGCAACTTAGTTTCGTTTTACTGAAATACCTTGGCGATGTATTTCAGTTTTCGGCTTTTGTTGTTGTAGGTTTGAAGTCCTATTCCAATTGGCCGACTTACCCACAATTATACGTAAAGGGCGAGTTAGTGGGTGGCGTGGATATCGTACGAGAGTTAGCTGATTCAGGCGAGTTAGCACAAATGTTGATAGTTCCGTGAATGTGACAAATAAAACACCTTCATTCTTCCAAACCTCTGTATTTCTAAATGTAATATAACCTTATTGAATTGGAGTCTTCATTTTTCGAATTTGTGGGTAATATTGGCTTTTGTTTTTGTTTACCATTAATTGTATACATAAAATATTTAGATATGTAAGTATGCTTACTGCGTTAACCAATAACAATCGACGCAACCCATTTGTTTGATCCACTGACATAAAGTTTTTGTTATCTATCAACGATAATTTTTTGTGTGAAACTGTACTCAACGTTTATGAAAACAATTAATTTGGGGTAAGTAAGTCTACTTCTCTGTTATTCAAAGTTAAGCCTTCACTTCTCTGCCAAACGGTTAAAAGACTGGAATTCAATACCATAATCGCGTTTTTCTCCAGTTGTCTCGTTAATCCCTAAGCGTACTTGTCTCTCGATAGAATTAACATTAAAGTAGTGTTCGATATAAATAAAGGAGTAGAAGTTTGACTAAAATTTTGTGCTCTGTGTCACTAGTTCACATATTAGCTGAAACGACAATTATCATATACTACTGCTACTTTTATGATTTTTATAATCTCATTCTGAGTGGATATATCGTCAGTTAGCTTATCACCAACATAAATTGCTAAAGGTTGATTTGCTATTACTAATGAAATTATGTTAGTAAAACTCATACTGAGTGAATCCACGTGATTTCAGCGTTTCGCCAAGCAATCTTGTGTCCTGTTTTCTAAATGTACTGACATCGTTGACCTATTTTCAAGTCTTTTAATGACAACAATGTTTCAAGCACCGCTTGATTCCTTTTAGCCTTATGCTACAAGTCCAACAGTACTAAAAATGGTTCAGTTGATTTTACAGATACATTTTTCTGTCCTTTGACGTCGTCATCATTGACTTTTACGAATCCAAAGTTCAGGTTATCTTTTGCTCGAAATTATATCTGAATATTATGTTTATCTAGGTTTCTAATTTCTTTATAGAGTAAGATGACCAGAGTGGTGATCCTGTTCGTTGGTTAATGTTAGATTTTTATTCCGCCTTCAATTAATAGAATGAATGTTTAAATAGGTTTGGAATAATAGGGGGAATTGAAGATCCTATATCCACGCTCTCGGCTCATCAACAAGGAAGCGTGTTGTACATTATTACTTCAGTAACTGGACGTCACTAACGAGGAAATGAGCCAATGAAATAATTACGTAAAGATTAAGCAGTCGTTATTTTAAAATATCACCGTTCTTATGAGCGCATCAGGCTACGAAATAAAGCAAAGCAACGTCTTGGAGATGAACGTTATGGAGAAGTCAATGAAACTAAGTGTCGAGCCATACACTGAACAGATCAAGGGTTTGTGATAGTATGGTATTACAAACCATAGAAATAAGATTAGAACTCTCATGACCAAGTAGTGTGCAACTTCGATTAATTTTCGTTAATGTAAATGACAAACAATGACAATGATAATAATAACAGGTACATTGATCTTGAAATGGACTAAAATACTCGTTACCAACTGAACTGCTCATTTCATTCGGGTAATTGGGATAATTCCACTGCCATTTGGGCATGTTCAGTGGGGGTACACTGTGGTTAAATATTGAAATAAAATTGCATAAAGAAACTGATAATTAAAAGAGAAAAGTAGTTGTGGAATGCAAACCTGAAAAGTAAAATTTGCTTTCAGCTTGGACATTGTTCACAAGGATGTACATTTCTTTCGAGTTGTTATTGCTTAATAACAATGATAATATCAGAGTACGTCATTTAATTTGACAGATTAAAGTAGTAGTTTGTATTTGTTTTATGACTGTATATGTGCCAAGAAAAGGAAGTGAGCCATGGCTCAATTAAGCTTAATTCTCAAGTATCTAGATGTACGGATGGATTGAAAAGAAAGCTATACATGCATGCACCCTCCTTAGAAATGTTAAATCATTTCTTTGGATTTTTGGTGTCACCAATAATTCATCTGGTTTACATAATACTTCCGAGTGTGTACATGATGTGTGAGAGCGTATATGTGTGAGTAATACTAATTAGATATAGCTTTTTCGGTTAGAGGGGTTTTTATTGCTCTTCCTCTTCCTCGTCATCGTCTTCAGATTCATCAGTGACTACCACATCAGCTGTATGGGCAGCTGGTACATTTTCAAATACTCCACTGTGTGGGCATTGTTCTTGCCATATATCAATCTGAAACAAAATATGAATATAAAGTAAACAATTATTAACAACAGATAGCTAAATTCTTCCAAAAAATCTTAAGAAACCAATCATAAAATCAGTACAATCCGCGGATATCTCCATAATTTGTAACCGGCTGACTACATGCTCACGCACGAATAATTCGTTGCTTTCAATAGTAACTTAATGAAGTCAGGTTTTAATTTCTAGTTATCCGAGTGTTTTATTGAATGTTTTAGTAGGTGAAAATATACTTATCGCGATAATCTTCAGGGAATTCAGATGGTTAAAAACATATGACCTTATTTTAGAGTGAACAGTATTCAGTTAATTTTTACTGTCTATCATTAACAGTAATTTTTTAGTGTATGTATAGTTGGAGTTAAACTGAATGAAATCCTATCATAAACCTTATATATTAGATTTAGTACTATGATAGTCGTTTACTACTAGACTGGATACTGTTAACATGTCAATTTACGACATTTTACATCTACGTACTGACATAATTAACGAAGAATATATTCCTGACGAACAAATGTTTATAAATACTCTCACACAAATCTAGTGTTTCTGAAGTTATAGTTATCCGATACTCTAATACTACCAATTTGTTTTCGTCTACTGATACCAGTGCACACTGTAGTAAGAAGTCTAGACTTGCATCTATTTGGTCAATTAACGTGTTAATTACATTGGTATGAAAAATTAAATATTAGCATGATCTCTGAAAGCATAACTAGATTTCGTCTCTGCGTCCCTTATGACTCTTTAGTGACATTTAATTTACTACACATACTGTAAATTATAGTATATTGTCAATGAAGAGATATGATACGTGAAAATAACACCCTTGTATTACTAGTAGTATCTGGAAGAAAACGCTTAGTGAAAAATATTGAAGCAAAATGTATATCAGAGAGAAAAATTATGACAGAGATTTGACTTTTTCAACAAAACAGAAATATGGTCTGGAGTATATGTTTAATTGTTCAACCCCAAAACTTAATCAGCACTATTCAATACTGGATGGTAGGTACACACACACGCTAAAGAAACGTATCAACTTACAATATCTGGTCGACTTTTGTTCTTTGCAGCTTCTTCTGCTTGTTTCTGACGTTCTAAGAAGGCTTGTTTAGCTTGTGTAGTATATCGTGCTTGTTTTGGTGCACCATCACCATTTCCATTTGTATGACCATCTTCAACCAATAAAATAGTCTGAATGATGTATAAAAAAATAAATAAAACCATTTTTTAAACAGAAAAAATGTAGAGGATGCCTATTATTTTTAGTAAGAGCAAATGAGGATATATTTAAAAGATCTTTAATGCTGGCTTTTATATGGTTGTTAGCATTAAATAGTGACGATAATTATACTTAAAATAATTCAACATTAGATACTTTACCACGTAATACTATGTTCCAGTCAAAATTGAGAATTAAACATTAGTGGTTTGGATTTGAGTTTTAATAGGTGAATTTATTACATATCATTAGAAATCATTCATTTCAAATGTCATTTCTAACTAGCATAAACATAACTTCACACAGAGTACGGCTGTTTGTATTGGATGTAAATGTATTTTATTTCGATAAAGTCGCTGTAAATAATGTTAAATGAAAATATTTTCATTCTGAACATTTTATACGAAGTTTAAATATGATTAAACTGAACTTAATAGGGATGCATTATTTTTGAAATCATTGTTCTAAGCAGTTCACGTAACTGGTTAGAGCTATCTTCCGTTGACTATTGTTTATATGATGTAAATTAAAATGCATTGCTAACCGATTCCGGAAGATTTCATCACGTTGATTTCTTACTATTTAGGTTAGTGATTTTATCACATGCTTTTACCAACATATATAACTTAGTGACAATGTTGATGATCATCTGATATTATCTGTAAATATACGCAGATATATAGGTCTATCCAATTAAATAAATATCTAAACAGGTTTGTTAATACTGTTACACGGAGTTTGAATAAACAAACCTTTATTCTGATTATCATAATTAATCCAACACAAAGTTTCTACTATTGTGTTCGATATTCACATGATTATAGTGTGCTAATTTCAACCTACTACATTTCAGCCATATATTCCTAGCCCTTATATGACCTTTCAGCTTTACAAATGATCCAAATATTATAACAGTCCACCATTTTTAACATATCTGCTTCAACCATACCTTACAATATGCATGCTTTATATTACTCATTGCAATACAAAAATTATGGACTGATGACTAAAGTGTAGAGATGAAGTTATTGAACTCTTTTTTCGTTTATCTTAAGTACAATTATTGATTTATCGGGTTGCATACCTTTCTACGGGATAACTTACCTTGTTACTTCCTGATGTTATCTGTGATTTAGATGCTTCTTGTATAAATCTGTTTTTCGCTTCAGATGCCCATTTCACAGAATTACTTGGATAGTCATCTGTTTGATCATCATCATAACGGACTACATTATCAAGTCGAGTTGGCTCATTTTCATATATTCCACTTTCTGCAGCATTAATATCTATAAGCTATAAAGGTGAATAAAGCAAATTAGTATCATTTTTGAGTAAGTATTAAAAAATAAGGGAACGATCAGACATTTTGTCTAGTAATTTTCAACAGTCCACATATATAAGGCATTTGGAAAATGTTTTGAAATTCAGTTATTCTTCTAATTAATAAGTCTGATTTACATAGGTGTGACTCTTCACCACTCAAGCAAAGAAATGCGAACTAACTTTGTATGCTGTCACTGAAAAATGTTAGCTTGGGTAGAAAATTCATAAGGTTTTACTCAAACACTCAGCTGTTTGTCTTCAACTAAATATCATTGTGAAAATCCCTGTATTGTGAATTAGAAAAATACATATAAGCGAAAAATATTGTCTTCAGTTAGATCCTCATCAGGCTGCACTCTTATATACAGTAATATTTATATGCATATACACAATTATTAAACCAATGAGGGCAGTTTATTAGTCACTGATAACAGTGGAATAGATAACACAAATAAATATAATAGGTGAGGAGTACAAATTGATGGTGTGATGATAGGCGTACTAGTTGTGATAAGAATAACAAAGGCTTGAATCCATGTTTCATAATAAGAAATAGGTCAATGACTTATAAAACATAGATGCTGAAATCACGTTTATAAAAACTATATGATTGCGTAATAAGAAGTGTTCAGATAATTGGACAATGAAGCATACATTTAATCGGATCACTGAAAATTAAGTTCGTTTTATTAATGTAAACAGTTTTGTTCATTAGAACTAGTCCTCATTTTCCTGGCATGATTGTGGTCAGAGTTTTATATTTTCTAAGCCTATGTAAAGCACCTCGATGCTATTTGGTAATTGGTGATTTCAATTGCATCGCTGGCAGATATCAACCAACGCTCTCAAATCTAGTAAGTTCATGGAATAAGGTGGGGACCAAATCTGTTCTTTGTGGAACTAAATTCTCAAACTGAATATCGGTATCTAATTTATTTATTCTATTTCCATAGTTAATCATTAACTAATCCTAACGAAGTTTTTAGCTTCTGTGAGACGGGCATTAAACTTTAGGAACTTATTGAGTGCCTTAAATGCAAACGGATCCTCCAAGTGACTTAAGAATTTTCATATTGTGAAATGAAACATTAGGCTTTGGATGATGAGGAATTAGAAATAAAACTACAGGACATCTTAAAAGCAATGATTCTTAAATTAAAGGAAATAGTAAAACCAAAATTATCACAAAGAGAATATAAGGCTAAATATTTGAAGATGTTATAACTTAATATATATATATATATATATATATATATATATATATATATATATATTGTAATGTAATTCAGTAACTTAAAATTCAGCTTAAATATGAAATTAAAAAGAATAATGTAAAATGTATAATCCGAATACAACAGGTTGACTATAGCAGTAATGACTTACTGTAATCTAAAATTTTTTGAATTTAAACTTAATATTTGCTAGATATCTTAGAACAAGTTTATTTGTAAATTACTACGCTCTTTAGTAAACTTAAACAAGTGATTGATTATCCTAAACTAGTTAGAACAAACTATTTTGTTACTTTCACCTCAATAATCACTTAGATATATTTACTCACTTTTATACTATCTCTCTTTACAACGGAAGTATCAGCAGCTTTCTTCAAAAATAATTCACGTCTTTCTTTAGCACTTACACCAGATGGTAGATCTTTTTTTGTTTCACCAGCTCTAGCGATATTTTCGAATTTTTCAGGTTCATTCTCATAAACACCTCCATAACCCTTTGATCATATGTAATAAATAAGGTGATAAAAATTTATGAACAATAATATATCGAAACCTATTATTCTAACAAAATAAATTTACATTCATATGATAATGTTTATGGTTCTAAGTTCATATGAACACATTTACCTGTTTAATAAAGTAAATATGTCATTCAAATAACTAAAACAAAATAGTTACAAATTAATTAAAGATGTCTATTTAAATTTCTCCAACTTTGAATCATTTGACTCTTCTCTGAACATATAGTGTTGTTTTTTTTCAGCTACCTTTGATATTTATGCATTGATGAAACTATTGGAATCAAAATAGTATGAGTCTTCCTTCATTTTCAATGATTATTTGTTTTCACTACGAATTAAGATATATGATCTAAAACTATAAATAGTATATGGCATTAAATTTCTAAAGAGAGCTATGTTTTTTATTGTAGGATTTATGATATTATTTTATGTGTTAAGTGAATTATGTTGATACAATAACTACATATTCAGTTTGCCTTAATAGTTATTGTCAAAACTCCTTAGCATTCTGCAATGAATTTCGTAATAAAGCTCTCTGTTAATTTTTTCAAGGATAAATTACTTATTCTACAGCTCGAACACAAACATCATTTATTCTCATTTAAGGCAAATGTAAAATGAAACAATACTACTACTGAGAAAATTTTTTTCGTACTAAATGATTCGTGATATATGCTGGACAAAGTCTATTAAGTCCAGACCAAAGTTATTTCGTTGCTAAAATTATGGAACTTATTGTTGACTTAGAATTATTCAAAAGATTTTGTGATGTCAAACTAGTTACCTAATCGATCAAACAACTAATTCAGATCAATATAGTTTGACTAACATGATGGATTAGTAATGCAGTACTAAATTCCCTTGAATCCATCAGAAATGTAATGCATAAAGACTAAATTATTCCTGACCAATAGAAACATTTTACTCATAAGCATATCCATGACTTTTTATAATTTAATTTCATACTGTTTATTGGTAATAAATATAAACATGAAGTTCGTTAACGATTTGAATCGAACTTTTCAAACGAAGTTATAAATCAGATCTTGTTTTTCAGGTAAAGTAAGACTAAAGTAGTTAAATTTACTTCATTGACAATTATATGACTTATGAAACTATCAAAAACCATAGGTTTTTACCTATAAACCGATATGTAATATATAGCTAAGGCTGAAATACGTAAGAAAGTGTATAATTATGTATGACTATCGGTTTTCTTGCGCTTTCTGAGTTGGATCGTCTAATAAAGAACCTAATGAATAACGTAATCCAAACTCCCTATTTATATCGACTGAAATTTTTGTTGTAAATTGTTTGATAAATGTCGGTAACGCATCATCTAGATTTATTTAATGGAATCTAAGGGACACAAAAATATCTTCAGGGGACTGAATGAAGACAACTTGTACTAAAACTCAGCTACTTTTAGGGTTGTCAATTTTCCCTTTATTATTGATGAGGTACTAAACTTAAATATGAAATAATACAATGAGGATTATCGTTTGAATTGAAAATTCTTGTCTTGTAGATATAAATTTAAATATTTCAGACAAATTACAGCTTAAGTAGACTTAGAAACAATCAGAATGTAAACGTTTTCGTTACAGTAGGTAGCTTCAAGAAATATATGAATATACACATATATTTAATGGGTTGACTTAATTAGATTTGCAAATTAATCATAGAAACTGACCACTGGCATTTGTGCTGTAGCGCATTACTATGAGAACTGAAGCAATGTTTATTACTTTTAAACCGATGTGGATGGTTGGTATCTTTCACTTGAAATATCAACATGTAATCCACTTGACTATTACTTCCAGATAGTCACCGGGTTGTGCATTTTGGTTAATTTCAGTTTGTTCGTATTTGTTGTTTGTTTCTTCCCATAGATATTTTGACAGGTCCTATGCATATTGCCTCAATATTGTCATTAAGCAGATAATGCCTTAATGTTTGAAGACGAAGGAACTTGGTTCGAGTCCGAGAGCAGATATAAGCTCTGGAATAGATATACATCTAAATGGCGAGTCTCAAATAAGATGAATCTTCAGTCCTGAATTCCACTGGTATTCACCAGCCATCTCTGCTTAAAGTGTTCGTTACTTAATGGCCATAGTGAAAAGTTTCCACAGGTTGTACATATATCTAATGAGACTGATTAGTTGCAGTCCAAAGCATCAATGGAAAGATTCAAAAAACCAATCTAAACTATGTTTATCACGTTTACTCATAGTGTATTAACATCTGAGATCGATAACGTCAATGTCATATAAATTCAACAGTTGGAATTCCCGAAATAATGGTTCTTTTCATTCTACTATAATATTTTGTGGTTAAATACCTAAATTTATGAAAAATCTTATGAAAATGTCATAAGATTTATTTAACTATTTTCATTAGATCATTAGGACTAAGAGTTGTATGTTTCTCGCTATTATTATTGACTTATTGAAGGAACACTTGAACCCTCTCAAAATAAATTAAGTGATAATGGTTAACAAAATTTGACCGAAACCTAATGTAATAGCTGATTACTGGATGGTGTGAATTACATTCCTCGATGACAGAAACGGTTAATTGGATATTTTCTGCCTACTGTCTTTAAAAATGATTTTTCAATATAGATAAGATCCTACTTCCTCTGTCTAACTAAAGTTTCCTAATCAGTATGATATGTCTAATATCTTTCATCAATTTGCTCATTGGTTTCTGAACTGTTAATATAAATCTGTCACTTATAATCATTTTGATTCATTAATTACAAAAAAATATTATCATGGAAAGATTTATGGAGATTATGGAATTTAAAGTTAGTTGTCATTACAAGCTAGATAATGCCAGACGTTTTATGATATTGAAAATTTAATGAGATCAGAAATGTGGACGTTTATGTTTCATCTTAACGATATAAAGGTATTATATTGTACTCAAAGGTGCTATTACTATCTCGTGTAAGATCGTGCTCATGAACCTAAAATAAAATAATGATTCAGTGTTCTCTGACCGTAGTTGATCAGTCAGCAGTCAAAACCAAATATAAATGAATGTCATCTACTAATGAAGACTTTATTAATGGCAAATTCTAGAATTTAAGTGTTCATGAGTCAGTTAAGTATTGTAACACTTTCATATGCAGTAATTTCGTCAAATAAATATTTCAGTGATGATATTTGTAGGGAAATAATAGTTACCCTGCCTAATTATTATTAAATCTAACGTTTCTCTTAAAGAGAAAAGATGGATTTCTTCAATAGAATGAATGACAAATGTAAAAACGTTCAGATAGAAAGAAAAAAGATTTAAATTCATTAGGACACTATTGACGATCAAAGTATATTTGAAATATAACTTATAAATGATGATTTCAAAATTCAATTATAGTTTAATAATAATAATGGCTAATTTCTTATATACAACGTGATTACTAACATTTTACTAAGTGAAATTTTAAAACGGAACTGCAAATGACTTTATCGAGTGTATTTTGTGAGGTGAGATTTTTAGTAGTTACGTCTAAACGAGGGACCTGACAGTTACATTTCATGACATCCAATTGTTATGTCCCAATAAGCATAATGAATGGTAACTTTTGAGATTCATTTATGGACCAATACTATGCGTATACTTTTATCATATACTTGTTAAATAACTAAACTGTTCATATTCATGTCCTTCTTATTATGAGCTTTATTTTGACCTATGAACTATTATTATACCATTTACCATTCTTGAATTATGCCCTGTCTATTAATTACTACCTCCCTCATTCACAGCCACATTCGGCTAATTCTTGTACATATGTTGTTTCATATTTTATGGTACGATGTGGTCTGTTTGATTGGCATATGAGCCCTGTATGTTTGAGATAAATGATTCATATTGCAGAGGCTGAGATTGGTGTTCTGGACATAACTGCCTGGGCTAGGCAGAAAGCAGGACCAACCAGAACTCTAGACTGCTCGTAGGTGTTTTATGCGTCATTGGTTCGATTGATAATTCACTGCTCTCTAATAGGCGGTATCATTACGTATACATTAGCAGGACATTCAGGCTACATGTTTTAACAACTATTTAAAGATACATATAAGCAGTTCATAGTTCTTGAACCTTATTTTTTTGAATTTCTATAGAGTTACAATAACTGAGAAAGTGTTCAGAAAAATAAGGTACCGTTGAAAAGTAATTCATCAAAAGTTCTCAAGTGATATGATAAACTTATTACTAAACAAAATATGAAGATCTTATTTCGAGTAACAATAATGTATAAGCATATCAAATAAACTGTGATCGGCTAACGAGATTTTAAATTTGGTAGTACAATTTTTTTTGTCATCACTCAGTGTAATAAAATGCTTTGTGTGTAAAAAAAAGTATCTTACTCAATTATAAAATTCACCTTCTATTCATCCGTTCTTAGTAAAACTACGAAAGCACTAAACATAATGTTTTTCACTTACGTCATGTATATCAAGTTTCGGACGTTCTGATGAAGCATCTTTTTCAGTTTTACCACTTTCAATATCCTTCCATCGTGCTCTTGCATTTTTTGTAGCTTCCGGTGCAACTGAAATTGATTCATCAATGAATGAACTTTTTTTACGATTCTCTCCATCTATGCTCTAAAACGCACACGTTAGAATGCAAAAAGATGATTGTAACCATTATTTTACGAATAATTATTAACAAAGTCTCATTTAAACGAATGCGAAAGATTTTATGCTAGAACATCAAGATCATTACTGATGTAGTACATTATTGAAATGAAGTAATGTAACTAATTACTTTGTTAGTTAACCAATGAATAACCAGGAATGAAAATAAGTGATCATAAAATTTTTCGTCAGTACATTGAAGTCCGTTGTAACAAAACCTGTATTAGATTAAGATTAGTATTATATACTGTTGAATATTTGTTGTTTATTTCCCATTATCACAGTTATGATAAGAAATTTTAAATGCAATGAATAGTATTGTTTTATTTCCACAGTCTGATCATGTTTATGTAAAGGTTGTTTTATATATAACCGCTCTTCTTTTTATACTCATTGAATTAAATATTTTATAATATTCATTTTGAGATGATGGAGAAGATTTGTTGCTCAGGTGGATGATTTTGATGGAGTTTTGTTCTCTGAGATGGATGGTTTGGTTGTGGAGCTTTCATCGTTATCCTGAACGATATCATCAGCACAAACTTCAGATAGAATTCATCTAAACGATGAAAGCTCCAGGACCAAACCATTCAGCTCAGAGAACGAAACTCTAACACATTATTCATTTAAGTGTTTTCAATAGAAACAATGTCATATCATTTTGGTGGAGCTGTATCCTCTTAACTGATTGTGAGTTGCTTGATTCATAGAGTAGGATGATCTCTTTTTATAGAAATCCCTTAATTTTATTTTATAAATACTGAAACACATAGTAACAATCCAGAAAAATATAATATATCATATGCAAACTAAACTGCATCAAATAACAGAAGAATTAAACTCCTCAAGGTGGATCCTCTCTTTATTCACACATACATGGTTATAGGCTAACATAGAAACGACAAGATAATGTGTGGCCTATATCAGTTCATCTAGGAAACAACGGTCATGACTTCGTTTAGGAAGACGTAGGAACTATGAACAGAGAAGATCCTACGAACTCTAGAGAGTTTCTAGAATCATGAAGCTCAAACATATCTTCAATCATTAAACTTGTCATCATTGATCCAATCCATTAAAGAATATGGAAGGGTTCATCGATTTAAACAAGTGTCCGGAGTGTAACAATCAACTAAAGAAACAATATGTTCAAAGACAAAGAGTCACAAACAACGCTAAGAGATATGACCGATTTAGTGTTTGTAAAACAATTGTAAAGCTCATACCGTTCAGTCTCACTGACGATATTGCCTAGAACGATAATGAAAGCTCTTCCAGTAAATTATCTTGCTCAAAAAACATAATACGAAAAAAGACATTGACCTGATCTAACTGTATTCTTCATCACCTCAATATTACATCCAGTTACTATTACAACTCTTCAGGGTTCCACCTTTGTAAGCCTACTTTGTCGATGATAAATTCCAATAATTACACGGCATAATGAGTTCTATAAATGCATACAAATAAAGTATTTGTAACTTTGTGGGTATCAGTATCAATGCTGGACATGATAGTTTCAAATAAAAAAGCATTGAGTAGAAAGTTGATAATAAATACATTTTTATCAGTATAGAGTTGCGGAGATTGTAGGGTTTTAATTAAGATCATGAACGGATCAATGCGCGCGAGATCGAAGGTCCTGGGTTTAAATCCAGCGTGCGGGATCGTGTATGCGCACTGCTGAAATGTTCCACACTAAGACGAAACGACCGTTCAGTGATTCCACTTGGTCCAACGTTGGTCAGTCCATCATTTCAATCAAAATCTACTTTTGTTAAATACCAATCAGTATAAAGTTATATTTCTGTCGTAGGCCACTTCTTCAGAGTATAGTCACCGAATTAAATTAAAACGAGTTTATATAGTACAGAGGAAACTTGTGTTAATTTAATTTGGTTATCGATTTACTCTGAAGAAATGGTTTACATTAAGACACGAAACGTCAGAAATGCAAATTTTCTACTCAATGGGATATAACAAAAATGGATTTATAACTATTTTTAACTTTTTTCAATCGTTATTCATGAATCCAAACGTTTTTGATCAAACTTCAGGAAAAGAAACACTCCCATTGATCCACTGTATTCATGTTTTAAAACAGAATGCATCCTAATCAGTCAACACTAGAAATAGTGAAAATGAAATCAATTTTAACACACTACTTATGTTTTCTAAGTAGAACGACACATTTTCATCCATATAGCTGAAATATTTTCAATAAATTAGACAATTCGTATTACAATTTATTTTAGAACTAGGATGTTTTCTACTTATTTTTCTACCACGTCTGATCGTTTACTTTGAAAGTGAACATCACTGTTCCAACGTACAACATATTTTATGATGTATTAATGTTCCTTTAGTTTCACATCTACTTTATCTCTGTTTATGGACTATCAGTCTATGGCATAATAGTTTAATCAGTTTAATGTTCCTCAAATGAAGATACTCAAATTTTTAAATGTAGATTTCTATAAACTATAAGAAGAAGTAGCTTGTAAAGCATATGATCGTATTACATTGTGGCTTGTAAGTCTGAGTAAAAACACTTCGTTGTGAAATCACTTTACATAAATTTATAAGCAATTAGTAATAAAATTTATCCTGTTTATTCGAGACCTACCTGTCCACCAGTTGCTTCCATATTTCGAAATTTCGCCCTTAAATTTTTTGTTTTTTCACTAATCTCTTTTAAATCAACTGGTTCAAACATATCATCCGATGTAACCACATCTGGTGCTCTTGGCTTTGGATTACTTTCTAATATACCAACAGCAACACCATCCGGTGGTGGAGTGAATTCCTTTGGTTTTCTAGGCCCATCTTCTACCTTACTCATTGTAGCCTTTGTAGCTTCCTCAATAAATCTTGTTTTAGCTGATTCCACACCGGCATATTTCATTTTTGGTGCGGATTTCTTTTTGTTCTTCCTTTTATCACTATTCACTTCACCTGATTCAAACTTATTTCGAATATTTCCCATTCGTCCACCACTGGCGTTTGATATTCGTCGTTCAAGGTCAGATTTTTTAGTATCTTTATTCCCATTTTCATTTTTCTCATCTATATTTTGACAAGACATTAAAAATGGACATTCTTCATAATTAAGCAAAAAGTTTTTATTTTGCTGGTTAATCTAAACATGCGAATGTGAATACGTGCTCATGAAATATACTACTTGGCCATTACAAATAAATATACATTCCATAGCTGTTTGGTTCATGTTTCAGATAACATTAATGTTCACCTCTATGTTAAATGAATAAACTACTAACCAAATGTTCCAGGTTAAGGGGGGCTTGCGGTTGTATTAATTTGTTGAAATCCTTAAAGCTGACTAATATTTTAAGGCATAACCCTATAAAGGAAATGACGTATGGGAGTTACGAATACATGTGATCAATTCAACTTATTATATTGTTAGAAATGTTTAAAATACAACTGACGGGTAATCGTATTATACTTTAAATAGTTACTTCTCTTATTCGATTTACCCTAGTGTGAGACTTATTTTTACCGAACTACTTATAGATGAGTATTGTGATCTCTTTAAGAATAAAACGATTATTGAAAATTGATTCACTTCTTTCTACCTTTCACTAGTATTGAAAATAGATAAAGCATTAAGATTTATGTTACAGCTGTTCAAACGATCGCTTTTATTAAACATAAGTTAAAATGTATTACTGAAAGTATTTAAAAAAGTTATCAATTTTTCAACTCCATATATGATAATTCAATACATATTACTTACAACAGTTTAACGGATTATATTTAGTAATATTTTTATACAAATACAATCATATTTCAGTGAAATTAATATTTTAATAGTTGAGATCATGAGTCGATTGAAGCTAGACCACCATGGAAAATCTGAAAACACTGAACGGCCGTTTCGTCCTATGTTGGGACCTCTCAGCAGTGCGCATCCACGATCCCGCTCCTCGCGAGATTCAAACAGGATCTGTTAGTCTCACTCGTGAACACTGAAACTCTAGACCACTAAACCGGCATCCAAAGATGTTAATGTCTGACTTCAATCGATCTACAAAATTGAGCGACATATCCACCATTTTCATCAGTGAGTTAGTATCTGAAAACCGACCCGGTTGAACTCCACTGGTCACTACTTCTCACTTCAAGAAATACCTCTTGAAGCCTGTTTTATCTGTTAAATTCTTATGAATTTTCCATATAATTAATTACTATAATACTCTGTATCATATCGAATTATATATACATATAAATTAGATTGAATCTACATATGTCAATTGATTGTACGCATATGTACATGCATGTATGAACATATTTCATACACCAATTTTAATTCAACCTTAGAAATTTTGAAAGAAAGAAAGAATAAGAGAATTAGTTATGCCAATAGTTATACAATTACATACATAATCATTCACTTATAGTATCGTAAGTCATAATTTCAAAACAATAAAACTACATATTGTAACGTATAGAAAATTTATCATATCAAGAATAGAATCTAATCTATTTAAAATGTTTATTTGTTTATTTCACTGTGAGTAATCAATGTAAACTGTCTTATCTTGAAAGGAATATACAAACGAGTAAATAAAACTAAAGAAATCAAGTTCATATGTAAACAAATAATTTTTAATCATTTATAATAAAGAACAAACAATAATAATAATTTATATTGATTAAATGTTAGAAAAACCATAATTGTTTATAGGCTTAACAGTATACCCATGCAGAAATAGATATATATCTATTCATGAATTGATTTATTCAATTCATGTAATGAAGTTAAGCAAAGTAGATGATTCATTGAAAGTTCCTAAAAACTTCATTCATTAAAACATAATAATCATAAATTATAGAAATGATAAAAAAATGAACATTTTCAAAAGGATCAAATCTAATAACAGAAACATAATGTTAAATAAATTGAAAACAAGTGCTTATTCTATTTTGCTTGATCAGTTTTGGTAAGACCAGCAGTTAAGATCTATTAGCATTTTATAGTTTGTTAAACAAAAGTCTTTTTTTTTATTATTACATTTGACTTTTAAAGTTTGACTGACTTTTCAAGGGTTTTAGTCGTTTGTTTGTAAACAAAGGAGAGAGTAGCTAGATGCTTATCAATAAAGATCATCCCTCTAGTCCACAGTCTGTTTAATGTAGCTGGAATATAGTAAATAGTGATTAATCTGTAACATCATTTGCTCACAATATGTGAGTAACAATTTTGAGTCAAGAGTAATTAAGTTATTGGTTAACACCAAGTGTTTTGAAATGACAAATCTTTGATTTCATGTTATCATAAGAATCTTTTTATCTTTTATGTCCGCGTGTACAATATAGTATCAAGGCTTCTACCCTGAAGATAACCTATTAGCCAGATATACTTGAATGCTTTCATTCCTATCCATTTTCTCAACAAATTCATCTCTACGAAATGCTATTTTAACAAAAACGAACTGTAGTTTGCAGTACTTTGTTTTCTTTGAAATTTATTTTCTTTCTCAATGAGCTCAAAAAAATAATCAGCATCATTAATTATAAAATAAAATCTAGTCTATTCCTGAGGTTAATGTACCATAAATATATAATAAATTACAAATAAATTAAATGCTCAATTTATTCGAAATTATCAAGTCAAACCTTGGTAATGATACCTATTGTAAATTACGTTTAGTTCTTCACCTTTCCGATATGAAAAAATTCATGGACTAAAATATGACGTGCTGGTAGTCAAGTTTATTAGTTATTACTTTTCAACCATAGGAAATGCTCTTCAATTGAATACTGAGAAAATGAATCAAAACAATTTATTAAATAGACCTACTGATGAATTTATTATCAAACTATAATTAATACTGAGAACACATCTTAAATATTGATCATGTGTAGTTGATTAGAATATGAGGAGAATCTAATAAACCAAACTGAACTTGAAAATTATTTACTTTAAAATATTATTTAAACCGACCCTTGTTCTAGTTTTTACATACAACACCACATAAATATACAGAAATTAGAAGTGAACTAAACAAAATTATGCAATTATATGGGAATTTAAGTAGTAATATAGCTCTTAAGACGACTGAGTGAATATATGCATACAGATTTACTTGAAACTCTGCTTTTCAGAAGGATTACCAATTTTGATATCTAAGATAAACTGAATTCCAGCTAATCATAGAAGGATAATTCTATAAACACTCATGAGTGTACGTTAATAATATTTTCATCTTTGTCGAAATTTGAAGAAAACGCTCAATTCTTGGTTATCATCTTTAGCTGCCTGCTTGAACATCTGGGCTACATATTCCTGTTATCAAGATATTCAAACAAGTTATCTATTTCTGTGCGTTTCTAAAAAGTGTACAACCTTTCGTTGTGCAAGTTACAAAAGGTCTAATCAGAGATCTCGTGGTTGTTGACAATATGCAGCGAAGAGAATGTACATTATTTAGATGTCGATTAACTGGATTTCTGACTTCTAACTGGAGACCACTCAATATTTATCGTCAGGATCTGCCAAGTAGTAAGAAACGGAAACCTGTTGCAATACTTTGTGCTAAGAATTCTATATTGTACCAAATATATAATACTGAATAAATCTAATAATGATAATGACAATAGTAATAAAAACACGGATAAAAGTCAATAAGCTTTTCAAAAATATATGACATTCCCTTATGTTGATTTTGATCTTCTATCGTAGGTGACCTCGGGTAAGAGACACATATTTTCTAGTTATCGAAATCTAGGATAGTTTAATAGAACATACAAAAAAGTTTATTTTGGAGTCAAACATTTCATCACCATCACATATTAAGCAACATTTTAAAAATACTTTAAAATTTCCAGTAACGCAATCAGTTGAAATTCACAAAAATGCCTCCAAATTTATGCCCCCAAATGCCCTGGTACGGCCAACAGTGGGAAGAGTGCGCTCTCCCTCTTGAAATCCTCTCACGTGGCCACGCGTATACAACCTCTGCCAGGGAAGTCTTACTCACTGCCTTCTCGTGGCGAGGGTGTTGTTTACGTAATTGAGAGGACGAAAAGCGAATGTCCGACGCTTTAACCGGGTTGGTGGACGCAGAGGGTCCACCTAGGGGAGTTGGAAAACCTTGATTTTAAACAAATGGTGCACATGGGCTTTAGTATCCTGAGGGAACAAATGGCGTATGAACCAATCGTTGATCACCGGCTACCATGGGAGTGCATCTCCTTACGATGCTCTACTGCCTTGTGGATCAGATCTTTAAGTTAAAGGCTCCGGATGTGGTCCTCTAAGAAAACCACCTACTTCGGTTTAGGCACCTGATCAGTATCACATCTCTCACACAAATCAAATGAGATTTGTGTGGCGCATATGAATTTGGTGCCTCCTTTTACCAATATCTATGTGTTCAAATAATAAATAATAATAATCATAGGAAAACGTTTTGAATAGCTGATTTTCGGAAAGATAAATTATTGTTGCTTTGAGCGCCCATTGAAATCAGTTCTGATTCCTGACAGATCTCCAAGCAAATTCAAATCATTTTACACACTACTGAGAACCAGTAGGTAATCTAAGAAATGTTTTTCAATGGTTTAGGACTCTCTGGCAATGAATATACATTAGCCAATTAAGGAAAAACACAGGGAGTTACAGTCCAATACCAAGAGAGTTACCGATAAATCACTAATTCATCACGTAGTCGTCTGTTATTTCTATAATAATTGATTTGGTATTAAGTGCGACATGTGATAACTGTCCTAATTTCACTAGTTATCAATTTTCACTGAAAATTTGGAGCTGCACTTGGAATCCAGTAACACAAATTCATTGAAATTTTAATATGCGCTATTAAATAATGATTAAGTTGCTTAACTTAACAATCCTTGATAAAGAATCTGAAGGTCATGATGTGAATCGATCATGGGCTTCTTTGTAAACAATTCCGATGAATCATCGCTTCATAGTTTCCAAACAATTTCTAACCAGCGTCAGACAGTAAAGAAAATTATTTTAAGGAAAATAATTTGTTGATATTATAGTTTTGTGGTGAAAAAATATGAATTCAGTCACATGTTTTCTGTTATTTTTTCCTACTATGTATATTTTTAAAGCAATTCTAAAATATCCGTCATAATAAAATTCATTAGTAACCTTGTATCCTTTTGCCCACTTATTTCCTACACAGTGAAGAAAAAAAAATAGTAAGCGTTCAACTAATGCTCATATGCACATAATTTTGTTCATTGCATATCACATGCCAATAATGATAAACAAAAATTTAACAGAACATTAACTATGTCTATACATCTCTTGCCATTAACAAACACATGCATAAATACATATATGAATACATCAATAAAAAAAGGTTTCCCTCTTTTTCTTTTTTTATTATAACACATACCGATCTCTTGTTTTTGTGTTAAGATTGTTGTTGATGTCAATGAATGATCTGTGAATAAGATATGAACAAAGTTATTTTAGAAAAAATAAACGAACAATAATAAAGTACAATATAAATTAGACAAAAAAAAACACATTCACATCCAATCATTAAAAATAAGAAACAACCCAAAAAGTGAATGAAAAATGGATTTCTAAAAATAACTCTATCTGTTCATTATCGTCATCGCCATCATCATCTTCATTTTTGTGCTTAGGCATTTATTCATTGACCAGTTTTAAAATGAAAAAGGTTGAATATCAACAATCAATTTAACTAAACATATAACGAATTTTCTTTTTTCGAAAAAAGAAAGAAATATCCAATAAGAATTACGTAATGAAACATGACAACATTTTGTACTAATATTAGTAGCATTTGCTATAGTAATAACATTCATCTTAGAATTACTGTAGATTTGATAAAAGAAAACTATTTGCAGACCAAATATTTAAAGAAATCGAAACTAGAAGATAGAAATGAGTGTTGTAAGGATTAGATTTTGTTTGATTGAAATAAAACGAGAAATGTGATATAAATTTTCATTTCTTCATTGTTATTATTGTTGATGTTATGAAGATATTATTATATCTGTTATTATTATATTTTATTGTACATTGATAATATCCATATTATATCGAAAGTGTAGTGCACAACACCAGTTACCATTTTGAAATATTGCACTTTTATCACTGAAATTTTAAAACAAAAAAATATTGAAATTAAAAAAGTCAATAATCGATATTAAAATGATTAATGATCTAAAGTAGTTTTGTAAAAAATTTTCCATAAAAAGAAAAATGAATCTTTATAGCCAAACATTAATTGCCAACATTTAACCGTGAACATTAGAGTATTGAACAGTTGCTTTGATCTAGTTTGATATCAGAACAAGAAAGATGTTCCACTCTTGTTAATTTCTATTAGCTTATTAAACGAAACGAATTAAGGGCAAAGATGCAACTAGATATTAATCTCAATAACGTCAATAGCGTAACCAGAATCTCAACGACTTCTCATCTTTATAGTACAAATGATCATAGAACTATGTTTGAGATTATCAATGATCTTTGATGATCACTGAATACTACTCGATCATTTTTTATGTATGCAGGCTATTTTGATGAGTTAAGATAAACGGTGTTGCTACCATGCCGTGTCGTTTTATGACAACAATTTACTATGGAACTTAGAATGAATAGTCGAGTTATAGTCATTTAGTTATTCATCCCGTCAATTAAGATATTTGATTACATATGTATGACAATTCATTGAGTGAAAACGGTGATGATGAAATCCATTTGAAAATATACTAATAAATTAAGTACATTGTACAAATGTACATTAATTTTTCATGGTTTAAAATTGAAATAACTTACGTTAATGTTTCATTACATATTGAACATTTGAAACAATTACGATGTATCACTTGATCCACTAAATCATAACGTTCATTGACTGGCATTGTTTTATGACAAATCGAACAATTTTCTATTGAATTTAAGTCACATTCCATTAACTGGTTTATTATCTAAAAGAAAAAAAGACAGGAAGTGAAAATTTCTAATCAGATTAGATAAACAATTATCGAATATTAAACATGATGTATATAGAAAGATACTATTAGTTTAAATGGATAAAATGTTCGTATATCACATTAATGGATGCTACTTTTTTCCAAAACTATTTTTTAAATGCAAAATAGGTATCTTCTGATAAAAGGATTGAATAATCAGTAAACTAAATGGAGTTTTAATCTCTGAGTTGGATGGTTTGGTCGTGGAGCTTCCATCGTTCTTCTGAACGACATCATCAGCACAAACTTCATATAGAAGTCATCTGGACGATGAAAGCTCCACGACCAAACCATCCAGCTCAGAGAACAAAATCATCCACCTGAGCTACAAATCTCCACTATCTCAATATATATATATATATATATATATATATATATATATATATATATATATATATAGAGAGAGAGAGAGAGAGAATACTTTTATCAAATAGATCAGGCTCCACTATGATATGCACTAGTATTTATACCCGAATATGTAAAATATTAGATGCAGTCACAGTGATTTTACAGTCATTGATAATCGTGAAAAAGTTTGTATAATCATAATACTTACTACTCATTTATCTTCTTACTATCGGTTTGTGTTTTAACTTAACATGATTAGTTATGTAATCTTTTTCATTGTTATCATCGACTCAGAAATTGATTGGTTGAGTACTTTTCAAATTTGCGTATGTTACTTTATACTATGGCAACATTTGATGAAGAATTATATAAAAACAATGTTTTCACTTATAACTTTTGTTCTAATCCACACGATGAAAATTTTTGATCAGTAAACAACAATGGTAGTGTTGTGGTCTGTGGTCCTGTTTAGTTACAAGGATCCTTTCAAAGCCTGACTAGTCTAATTTTACAGAGAGAAAAGTCTATGGAGAAAGCTTCATTACGAAGATCCGAAAATCATGGATATTTGTGGGTGCAATGACTGGCCAAGTAATCACTTATAGGTGATGACCCTGTGCGAATGATGATCCACTTAGACGAAAGGACTGATTCTTCAATAGATGAATCGTTCTTAACATGCAATTTCGAGACATCTTGTGTATGTCTAGTTTAAAAAGACATATAGTTTGTAAAGTAATAATGAACACTAACGTTTTCAATAAACTCATTTTAAGGCATCATTTTCAAGGATGCTTGAAAACATGGATATTTAATTTTACTTACATACAGAGGGAAATTTAGAATTATTTTACTTTTTCGAGCTTTAAAAATTGTTTCTTAAACCGAATTTGTACGTTGAAGCTATTAAAATAGACCGTAATGCTAAGTGATTAAATAAATTACAAACTGTTTGTAAAATGTATGTTTCATATAAAGGAGTATGAAACAGCAATAATAATCAATGTCTGTGTTCTTTCACTCTTTCAAGGCCTTTTGTATTAGGGTTACTATGCACTGTAGAACTTTTAGGTGAATAAAGTCAGTCGGAGGTTAGATAATTTTGTATGTTAGTTCATTCAGATGTTATGACTGGATTATTTAAATCCCCACTATCACTGACATTGTTGAGATGTGACTTATTTTCTAAATTAGGCAAAGTGGAATATCTCCTTCCTAATAGAATGAGGTAAATAATTTTACCGTATCTAGGTATATTTATATTATGACATTGTTGCGATAAAAGCACAAAATTCAACAAGGATATTTAAAAGTGAATTTTGGGAATCATATTAAACATTAAATAAAATTCAGCAATAACTATTTGTAAATCAGTTACATTCCTGAAACTTATGGTGACTTACAGTTTTACTTCCAGGCTGTACATATTCCACTGGCTTTTCAGTCCATATTCCAACCTCTTCATTACCTGTCACGGATACTGGACGTGAGTTACTCAATTTGATTTGTGGTATCTGTGATGTTAGTAGTGGCGAAATTGTTTGCTTATTCGTTTTATGAGGTTCAATGTTGTTGACAAATTGTAATGAAGTTAAATCTTGTGTAGGTTTATTGAACTGAGAACTTGCTGCAGGTATAGGTCTACTAATTACCGGACGTGGATTAGATTGACTTCGTTGTTTCTTGTCAGATTTAATTCGGGGACGTTGTAGGTTAATTTTTGAAGCAGCTGAAGTGAATATTCGATGAGGCTTTTTCAAATTTACATTAGTTTTTAATACGTTGGCGTTATTTGGTTTATTGTTATCATAGTCGTTAATATCACGTAGATCAGGTGTACTTTTTAAATGAAGTTTACGTTCATTATCTCCATAATTTAAATTGACTTCTCGTTTATTGCTGTCGCGTATTTGTTTTAAACGACATTTGTTCGTCTTATTTGAAATTACTAAATGTAAAGGCACTTCATAAAATCTAGTTTTTTGAAGTTTATGTTAATTTGAACATTTATTTTCATATATTATTTAAATAAATATGACTTCATTTTACCAGTGTTGCATGACAATGAGTAATAAAATAAACCACATTCTAATGCAATCATTAATCATGCAATATTGTAATATTGTTAATGATATAACAGAAAGCTTATTATGATATTCATTCTGCGTTATCTCGTGCAAACACTTTCAAAGAAGTATTATGATGTTTGGCTATTAGGCAATGCTATTTCACGCGAAAATAAAATGGTTTCATTCTACTAGATTATTTCCAGTTAGTTTTGTTATTTACAACTAAGATATTACAAACTGACCAGTCAAAAATAATAAAGATATTCAACTGATCGTTATAAATATGCTGATTGTACGTTGATGTATAATTATGTATCGTCATACTTTAATTGAAATTCAGCGCTTTATAAATAGCCAATTACAAAATAACAAACATTTTTGAACAGATTTTTTTAAAAAAATTGGGAAATATGTCCTTTAGTATTTACAGATAGAACGTTGTTCACATTGTTGTCAACTTTTGGATCTATTAGTTTTGTATGGAGATCATATCACAAGACAATGACGTAATCACTGCTTCAGCTTTTTGACATTTTTAGAACGTCATGAAAATTCATTATTGATAATAGGAACCTATCAAATCTATCCTTAAACAGGATCCACTTGAGTATAACATTAAACAATGTACGTGAGTCACATATGCTGCGAATTTATTTCTTACAAACGCTTTAATTTTTTTCAGAAACCTCATGTGCAATAAAACTGTTACCCTGGAACTTCATTTAGATTGTTCCAAATGTCAAAAGAAAATGTAAATTTACGGAACTATTCAATTGTTATACATTATTTATAGATTATTTTTTGTGATGTTTTCATCTTACGAAGTATTACATTTTCTTTCCTTAAATTCAACTAAGTTTTTAATATGAAATAATAATATTAAACTCCTACATTTTTGGTCAGGTTTATTGCTATACTAATAAGAGAATTTATTCTGTTAGAAACCCACATTGGAGGGTAGAACAGAATCAATTCTTAAAGTTCATTTAATCAAACAATAATTCATTTATACTTTAAATTCTTTCAATTTACTTCACCTCATTAAGGTAGTTTAATTCATGTAATTCTAACTATATAAAAGTGATATTCATTTCTATTTTACGTTTACATTAACTAATTCAATTAGTTTTTCATAGCATTATTTATGTTATAATTTCTATGTTTCTCATAATGATTCTTATCAGAAATAATGTATAATACATACTTTGACCTCGTTAATTAAAATGATAAATTATGTTATTCATAAAGGTAATGATAGTAATAAGTCTGTCCTGTACTTTGATTTCTTTTCCCTATTTTCACACATAACATTCCAATCTATACAATGTTCTTCAAATATTTTCAACGAACGGTATTATAAATGTAATTACCTTAGGAATTTTTTCAAAGTGGTCTTTTTAACCACTGATAATGTCCTATCAATTTAGAAGCCTATAAATTATCTACATTTTGAAAATTTTCTACCATGTCCATGAAACTTACCAATCATGAGCTTCTTATGGATAATACTTTTATTTATGACATATTTCTTACAATCTCAAGTCACAGATTTTAGTACGAACATTTAAGATGTATATTATGTGATTGTAATGCTAATGAATAGACAAATCAGTTGTGTTGAAGCTAAAAGATACACAAACATTCTGTGGATAAACATTGATTTTTATTAATCACATTCAACAGCCCTACATTAGTAAACACAGTACAATGGTGGTAACTGTAAATTAATTCACAATAATTACAATTTATCTTGTTCAGTAAATTGAGAAACACAAGAATATTTCAATTTCTGCCTCCTAATATTTTATTCATGTGTTATCCTTCTATCACTGCTAGAGTGTAAAGAAAAACAATGAAACATTAAATAGTTGTTATCCTCATTTGATAATGATTATCTTTTATAATAATTAAAATAACCATAATAAGCGTTTACAATCACGTGGATACATAACCATAAGAGAAAAAGAAAGAAATCATGCAGAACAATCATAAATATGCCTTTTCAAGAAACAATACACATGACTTGTTAGATTACTTACCTTTACTTTTCATATCATGAAGAGTAGTTGCCTAGGTTTTAATAAAAAGTATAAATGCAAATAAAAAGAACATAGTTGATCAGTGATTAATGATTAGAGTGTAAAACATTAATCTTGGAAAAAAAATGCTTAGAAAAATCATTTAAAAAAAAATAAAATTGTAAATATTACTAAATGAAAAATAACAAATGATAGTACTATTTAAAATCCAAATTTTATCAATCTAAACAAAGATTTTATAAAGTTAGTTTATTGTATTAAATATTTTATCTAAAAACTTTCATTAGCTAAGTTGACTATTAAATCAATCCAGTTTTTATTCAACTGATGTAAAATTGCATTGAAAACTATATTTTAATACAATTTTTAACTGTAAATTTTCTAACCCTTTCAATGAACTATTTATTTAACGTTTGCATTAGCTGTAGCGTGGTTAATAACCAGTTTTGGTTATTCACTGTCATTTTTGAGAAATATTTTACTAATTTCAATAGTTGAAATCATGAGTTAATTGAAGCTAGACCACCATGGAAAATTTGGAAGCACTGGACGACCGTTTCGTTCTAGTATGCGACTCCTAAATAGTGAGCATCCACGATCGCGTCCCTCGCGAGATTTGAACTCAGGACATATCAGTCTCGCACGCGAGCCCTCAACCATTAAACCATTGACCCGACATTCAACGGTGTTAATGTCTAACTTCAACCAATCCACGAAATTGTACCACCGTACACCATTGTGTTCAGTGTGTTGATATCTCACAGCAGACCTGTTTGGACTCCACTGGTAACAGCTTCTCACTAGAACTCCAGGAAATGCCTCTTGAAGTCAGTCACTAGTGAGCAGATGATTATTATCAGAAGGGGTTTTGTGGATTCGAATCTCGTGGGGACGGGATCGTGTATGCGCACTTCTGAGGGATCCCGTACTAGGACGAAACGGCCGTCCAGTGCTTCAAGATTTTCCATGGTGGTCTAACTTCAATTGACTCATGATTTCAACTATTGAAATTTCCAAAGTTCTCCACAAAACCCCTTTTGAAAATATTTTACTTTTAATTTGAGTAAATGCACCAGTTAGTGTTCAATATTGACATATTTAAGTAATATTCTCAATTCATGAAGTTAAACAAACTGTATATTTGTAAGTTACATTCATTACAGATTAACATATATTTAAATACTAGTAAAAACCATCACAGTCCAACTCGGTGGCCTGAGAATCAAGAACTCGTCACGACGCTTTAACATTTTAGATCCGATCACGGATGATACCGTTGAATAACTTCACTTTATGAGAAAATAGCTGTATAATGCTTGCCAGATTTATCCGGTGGCAACTATTGTCTAAGAATCATCTTTTAAAAATTATAGAGTTTTTTGTTAAAACTGACTGAAATGATTATTTTGGATTTTTACCATATTTCTCCATTGGTTATGAAAGTAAAACTGAGTTCTCTGTAAACATTAGTTCATAACGGTTGCTAGTAACATGACTTAATAAGCGAAATGACCTATGAATATTTGCTGACCAAAAAGGTAGACTTACAATGATTGAATTTGCAGGAGAAAAGTTTTAAGAGTACAGAAGCCAACATTATCTTAAATACTTCTTATCGATATTTATTTCTTAGATGTTTTAAGCGGTACAAGTTGACAGAGCTTCTAGTTCAAAAACTGTAAGTTCATCTTTCCTAATAACGTTACATCAAAATCTAGATCCATTTATAACAAATGAGGAGTCTAACTGATGTGGTTTTGCGTATAGTAATAGATTATATGACTAAAAATGAAGCATATCCGAAAAACTCTATAACTTAGCCACCAGCTAATCATGGAATCTACGATCCATGTCTCATTCTATGCAAGCCTCTTGAGCTTGATATGTTCACATCCTGGTATTGATGTTGTCATTGAAAATAAACGATTAGAAATAATAATATTAATAATATGTATTGACAAATTAAGTCTTCAATAGAATTTTCTTCTAAACATTAAATATATTAGTTTTCTTTAATTCTTTAATCAAATAAATTTTATTTTTCGATAAACAACTGTACTGAGATAAAGATGAATGTTTAAAATAATCAGTGACATACTCAATCTACAAATCTTTATATGAATATAATAAAAAGTAGGTCCTTCATTAGATTCAAGAAATACAGTGGGTATTTCGCAATATCGTTTGTATCGTTAATGAATAAAAACTCACTAAAAATACCAGCTTCTCTGAATATTTAATGAAGCTTCTATTAAAGATATATCTGTAGAAAATTAAACAAAACCAAATCAGTAACCAATATAAGCAAAGATGGATAGTGGCTAGCAGTGGGATGCAGGTTGAGCGTCTCTTCCTATTTGGGACTCGTCAGCTGGATGTACCTGCATCTCAGAGTTGATGTTCACTACGGGACTCGAACCTAGTACCGTTCGCTTTAAACCCCATCGCGTTATCAACTTAGCTACTGAGTCCTGATAGCCGCTTGCTAGCCACTATGCATCTTTGCTTATAATGCTTGTAAATTTAGGCATCATCGGAGCGATACGCACAGTATGCATATATGTCAATAAAAGACTGATTAATTGCGGTCCTAAACATAAATGGAAAGATTCAAGTAAAACAACACCAAGTGAAGTAACTGTAATAGATGTTGTAATAAGGCTGTAGTTTCTCTAAAATGTTGGGAAATTCAGGCTAAAGTTCGCATTCATGTACTGTGACTGAAATTTATCGGAACGTAATAGATGAAAACTTTAGGAAACCCATGTTATTGTGTCACCTCAGAAGTACACCACCTAATAGTGTAGTTATATAAACCACCCAAAAGAGCACTAAGGATTTTGAACTATCACATGAACTAATAAATATCACGACTTCTAATCCTAACTACTAATCAACCTTTAGTTTTTAATTATGCATTCTATCTCCTTAGTCAAGTAGATCAAATCGAAATATTAATCATATTTTATAGCTGACAATTTTGTATTCAGCTATACTTTTGAATTTTTTTATTGGCTACAAAAATTGACGTCGATCTCTGATGATACACTTTACCTCTTATTATTTCTAAAATGGAATCCGATGCAAAAGTTGTCCCGTCAATAAAAAAATGTATTTGTTTTTAATCAGTGATTATAATGTGTGTAGGTAGAAATAAATAAAAAGATAAAAGTCTGCTCAGTACTACACTTCATTGGTTACTGCCGAATTTTGAATATAGTTAAATGAATACATCATCATCGGTTCATAAAGATTATTTTCAATTTAACGGTTAGTTTAAACAAAACGCTGATGTATTATTGACTTTCAATAATTTCAGTTACTAATCTGTTTTTTTAATCTGTGTCCTTAAACAGTCTGTAATTAAAAGTAGTTTGCTTTATTTATCGAAACCGTGAGTTCACAAAATATTTCATTCGCTGTTTATCTAAAATGCAATTTACAATGAACACAATTAAATTATATCTACATCTACATACTGAAGTACTGTAAAATACTCAAAATTCAATAAAAATATTTTTATGAAATTGTTATCATGCATTTTGCTTTATATAATCTACTAATCAGTCTTGATATTTAATTGATAAAAACAAGCACAAACTCTGTAATTTTACAAATAATATATTATAAAAATAATCAACTGAACAAGGGAATACCACAAGCTGATATTTTGAGTTGCATTATTGACAAAGATAACTATCATGAAAATTGTTTAAGTATCATGCCTATGATATCTTAGTATTACTTATCTTGGAGTATTTAAATAAAATGAATAGTAGTGTTGTAAATGGTCACCTCGGATTTGTCAAATTAACGATCAAATAATTTAGTACATGATCACGAGCATTAACTCACGATTATTCTGCTGAGTTACTGGCAAATACTTTGCTGAAACCGTGAATAAATTTATATAGAATTTTGTTGTCAGGATTTTATATGTATTGTTCAAAGAAAAAAGCTGATAATTCACTTTCAGATATATATAGAAACTAATAAACGTTAGATGCATGTGGTATTCGTTGGGTAGTGATATAATTAACGATGACATTTGAAAACAAGAAGCCTTGAATACCCGTTTTTTTCTGCTGTTGGGACTTATTATCTCACACCCACTCGGGCTAGATCCTTGGAGGGTTTATAGGTGCTCACTGTTGAGAAGTCATATTTTAAGACGAAATATCTGACCAGTGACCCTTGGATTTCAATCTGCAACGAATACCTCACAAATTTAACTATCGTCCTCAAACGTTTTGATCAAATGTGAAGTATATTTGTCTGCCTCAATATTGGGTTAAATAAAGCTTTAAGGAGAAAATGAGATTTGATTTAAATGGAATCACATTTTAGAACTAGAACAATTTTTAACTCTCAAACCTTGAATGTTAACTCATAAGTTTAATCTGTTGTGACGACGAAGTATTTAACTGACTTGTCAAAGTAGAGTACGTTTGCATTGATCAATAATAGTTATAAATATGAACCATGGATAACCACCATATCAATAAAATATAATTAGATTTCCATGTAGTGAACTTTGAGTGCTCTCGCAATAATATTATAAAATATTTTAGCTGCATAAGATCTTATCAAAGACTTATTATATAACATACCTTCTCTGAATTAAGTCAGATAAACAAATCATAATTAATATTCATCTAAAATATAGTCAACTTTAACTTGGGTATAGCGGATCATTTTAAGTAAACAACGATCTTTCAATTTTCAGTTTATAAATAATGAACACCTTATTTGGTTACTTGTTTAAAATAAATAATTTTCAGAAGTTAAAATTTAAAAACGACAAGGCAATAATCACATCCACAAATCAGCATTAAGGCAGACAATCTTATAGAAAAAAATTAGTTTATAGCATTTCGGCAATAGAGTAATTAAATGCTTCATTGTTATTAACTGGGATGCAGTTTACTGGATGCAGGAAGTTTATGATAAGATTGGTCAACATATTTTACCTAGCTCACAAAACATACGATTTCAATATATATATATATATATATATATATATATATATAT